CCAGATTCCTTGGTTGAGGACACTTCACGTGGGTTGTCACATGTCATTGCTGGGAAAAGTAAGTCCATCTTTATGTGGCTCCACTTGGAAGGGAGAGGTCACTCACCTCTGAAAGCCTGTGCATAGTTTCTCCTGGACTTCACTCCATGTATCTTTCTGCTTTGCTGATTGAAATCTGTATCTTTTTGCTGTAGTAAGCTGTAACCATGAGTACAGCAGCATTTCTGAGTTTTGTGTCCTTCTAGGGAATCATCAAGCCTGAAAGTGTTCTTGGGAACCTCCAACACACTGACTAACACAGTTCTGAGAAAGACAGAGTCAGAATGGCTCTTGGGACTTCAGCAGCATGCCCTGATGAAACTAGTCCCTAGGTCACTGCCAAGGAACAATGTGACCCCAGACATCTTCTGGACCCGACCAGAAAATATGATGGGTGCAGCTCAGGTCACTCATGTAACATAGTACAGTGTATCACAAATGTAACCACTGGGGGAATCGAGGCACAGATGTGACTTGAGCTGGCTTATGTCGATGCCAATATACATTAGATATGTTAGTACATATGGTGCTTCTGTTATTACTATTTTAGTCTTTCTTAAATCCACATTTGGAAGTTAGTAAAGGTAGTCTTTCTAGTAGAGTAACAGGCACTTCAACTGATCAGTCAATACTTTTTCTACTGATAATAAATAAACATCACATTTATAAGTTTATGTATTATTCAGGAAAAATGAATATTAATGCCATCACTTTTATACTAAGCTTCCCCTTTAACAAGGTGACTCAAAGTGTAAAATCCTGGGCTCAAATCCCAGTCACTTAGTGTCTCTGAGATTCAGATTCCTTGCTTTTAAAGAGAGGGTAGTGTTCCCATAGTTAGTAGCTGTGCATATTAAACAAGATAGCAGATGGGAGTCCACATACTAACTCTCAGCACATTTAGATGTTTAACAATATTTCATTCATTTTTCTTCCCTTCCTATTTTATTATATTTTTCCTTTTATTCTTATTAAACACCTGCTAAATTTGAATGTATAAATATCTAAGCCATAGAAATACCTACTAAATGTTGGAATTCATTTATTGTATGTCATCTATACTAGGACTATTTTGTCCTAATTCCTTTATGCACCAACATTTTTCATTTCATATATAATTTTTAAATGTGAGAACTTCTTAAATTTTAATTTCATATTGTATTAGTCCATTTTCACACTGCTATAAAAAATACTTGAGACTGGGTAATTTATAAAAGAAAGAGGTTTAATTGATTCACAGTTTCACATGGCTGGAGAAGCCTTAGGAAACTTACAATCATGGTGGAAGGCAAGGGAGAAGCAGGCATCTTCTTCACAAGGCAGGTGGGAAGTGAAGTGAGAGTGCAGGAAAAACCTGCCACTTTAAAAACCATCAGATCTTGTGAGACTTCACTCACTATCATGAGAACAGCATGGGGGAAGTCACCCTCATAATCCAGTTCACCTCCCAGCAGGTTCCTCCCTTGGCATGTGGTGTTTATGGGAATTAAATTTGAGATGAGATTTGGGTGGTGGGAACACATAGCCAAACTATATCACACACCAAATAGTTATTTTTGATACAATTTTTTCATCAAATTATTCTCTCAATCTTTTCCACATTAGGAATGTAATTGTTTCTCAGGGCATAAAATTAACATCCAGCATAGCAAACACAACTATCCTATCATGAATAAAAATATGAAACAGATGGTGGATAAGGGTTAAATACGTACTGATACCTATTGACTGGTAAAGAGACACAAGTTATTCACACATACATACATAATGTTAGAGAATGGATAAGTTTCCCAAAATATAGTAAATGGTCAGTAAAAATTACATCAAAGATGACTAGCTTCCCTACATTTCATAAGGTTCAGGAAGAAACATTTACTTTCCTTTAAGTCCAAAGAGAAAGGGAATGAATCTCATTGCATGTCATCATGGGGGCTCCTGTGAGAAAAATAAAGGGGTAGGAGGATAAATAGAGGACAGCACTTTGTGAGGCCTGCTACACTCGTGAGTTAACCGAGGCTATAGCCAGGCAAGGCCAACTCTCCAGCAACAGAGGCCTGTGCATTTGCCCTGAGTTGATAGACTTTTTGAGACTAGGCAACCCTGTGGAGCCAGAACTTTGAGTTTGGATCTGGTTTGAAGAAAGCTTCTAGAAGGATTGGCACAGAAGAAATTACTGCTTTGACTTTTTGTGCACTCCCACCTCCCTCTCCCATCACCCAGTCAGAAGGCCTGCTGTTTGAACCACCTCAGATTCAGCCTGAATATGTCTTGGTTCCATGGAAAAATGTGCTAAATAGGACTGGGAAGGCCAAAAGAGACTATCATTTCCCCGAACATTGCACAAAAAACAAGAGAGCTTATCACAATTTCCCATTAATAAATAAAGATAATTGTGCTCTTGAAAAGTGCTTGAGAGATTTCTGTCTTTATTTTCCATTAAGTCAAGATGCAATCAATTATCTGCATTTCTAACTCTCCCTTTTGACCTTCAGCACTATGACCCAAGTCTTACCAAAATCACCATATTGGTGGTATAAATATTTGTACATGTGACAGGGGAAACATTTTAGCTGAAAGATTTTCTATTAAAACATTGTTCCAAAAATTAAATGTGAGGTAGTTATCATAGTAAAGGCCCCCTAGTTGTTTGCTATATATAGATAATACCTTATACAAACTGGAATGACAAAACTTGTCCAGTAATTAGTCATTTTTTTCATTCTGGTGTAAATGAAGGTTCTTTATTGGTTTCACACAATATTTACATTCATTCATTCATTTAGCCAGTCAGTCAGTCAGTAAGTCAACCAGCAAGCCAGCAGTATATATTAAGTGCCTGCCACATGTTTGACAATGTTTAAGTGAGGTCGCTTACCTGGATTTAAGAACCACGTATAAGCAGAAAAATTTTGTAAAGAACAAAGGGCTCAGGATTGAGTAGTGAATGGCCACAGTTAGGAAGAAGAGAGGAGAAAGAAAGAGAAAGGCTTATGAACTAGGCAGTCTGGTCACAGAGTTTTGGGTAGGAACAGATCAGAGAGAGAATAGTATCTGAAATCTCCCATGCCAAGGAGCCAGTGGGCTGCTGAACTGTTCAGTTGTCACTGCTGATTGGAAGGCCAATTCCAGGAGCCTTGTGCAGGGAACAGCTGGAGGGAGAAGGAAAGCGTGTGCAGCATGAATAGCAATAGAGGAGAAAAACAAGAGAGGCAGAAGTGAGATAAAAGAACATGTACCCCCAAACCTAAAATGCAATAAAATAAATGGGGAAAAAAAAAGAATATGTTCCTCAAAGTGGCAGACACCTGTGTATTTTTAAAATCAGAACAGATGAATGCCTTGGAATCTTTAATATTTCATGAGAATTCCTTGCTTTCCTTACTTTTTGCATATTTAGGTTAACAATACATGAAAAATTTAATTTCCATTTGCTCACTGAATATATCAAACATTTATGAACTTGTTCCTCATTGTTTTGCTTTATTTAAATAACTTGGGTACAAATGGATACTTTGAATGATAGATTGCATTTTTAATGACCATATATGGCTAATACAATAATTTTGATTCTTATTGCACCAAATAGTTTTCTTTGTGATGACTGCTTTTATTCTGATTAATTTTATTTATATGCTTAGAATATAAAGTCACTATTACGTTTTTGCTACAGAATTAAGAAGCAGCATGAATGGTGGAATTTAAAAGAGAATAATCAAAAATGAAAACTTATTTTTGAGCATGCATTTCACAGCATGAGAGCAAAATGTGTTCAGCTGTTCATTTTATAGCAAGAGAAAAATATATTTTAAATTAGAATTGGACCATTCAGACATTATAATTCATGCAGCCATAAGAGAAATATAAAAGCTCTCTATATCAGTTGGTAGAAGAAAAAAGTCACATTTCATCCAAACGTTTGGTGTTCAGTGTCTTACATAGAACATATTATTTTTTAAAGAAAGAAAGACAAGTAAAAGTTAGAAATTGAGCATTAGGCCTTTAACAAGATTCAGTAGGAATCAGAAAACTATAGAGTTTGAATTCCGATGATAAATTGAAAACAAATTCTGATTCTGTGATAAATCAGTGAACACCTCCCCTCTTCTGACCATCAACATTGGCATGATGGCTTCTTTACTTTCTCCTGAGCCAAGATAGACACTAATTCAATGTTCGATGAATTCCAGTATATTGAGTATTTTAATAACCTTCATAAAAAAATAAAAAGATGCTCCATGAATTAAAAATAGGCTTTGGCTTATTTTTCCAGCAGTGGTGATGGATTTGCACTATTCGGTCTATACTCTTGTGCTTATGATCTTTTGAGTTCAATGCTGCACCGAAAGAAGGTTTGCTAGATTTATCAGGCTGTAAAACACAACACAACAGCTAACTAACCAACAGGAAGATTAAAACCTGCAACCTTAGCTATGCCAAGAGTGCTCCTCCAGCAGGCCACTGAGCTATGAGGTTGCTGTGGTGAGAATGTCTGGTAGAAGGACTGCACCTTGTTAAGCCCCAGTAATGTGGCTCGCACAGAGTGAACCTGTGAGGTTGGTCCATGCAGCGCCTGCTCTGCTTTTATGTCCTGCTATAATCTCTCTTATCTTTCAGGTTGCTAGTACCCTCTTTTCCTTCCCTTATCCCACACCATCCTACCCTTGTCAAAAATTAGTTTCTAGAAAGAAGCTGGTATATACAGTAAGGCTCAAGCACTAAATCTTCTGAGGTTTTTGAATGTTGAGTTTTATCTCCACTGGATTGTTTTTCTTCTCATAGTTATCAAAAGGCAATTGGCAACTATAACCAAAATAAAGAATTAAAAATAAATAAAAATTTCTCTTATAAATTTCACCACCATAAGTAACAAAGGTGAGACAGAGACAGAAAGACAGACAGAGAGAGAAAGAGAGAGAGAGAGAAAGAGAGAAACAGAGAGGGAAGAGATACTTTCTGCACTTACTCCTCTTTGCTTTTACAGCGGAAACCTCCAATGGTGGTGGATGATCTTTTTGAAGACATGAAAGATGGTGTTAAACTGCTTGCCCTTCTGGAGGTCCTGTCTGGGCAGAAACTGGTAAGAAATTTTTTGTGTGATCATACTTGTCAAATTGTTGCCATTTGGAATTTGGGGACTGTGGGTTTGAGAGTGTTAAGATGTGCTGCCCATCAAAAAGAGTTATTTGTTGTGGTTGGTAGTATACTGGAATCACTTGTCTGCTGGCACTTCTAGGAGCAAGGAATATATTTCCCTTCTTCCATGGTATACAAGAAGGTTAGTTGCAAATTATTGTCTCCCTCACTTTAAGCGTTTGCCTTCAATTTAGAGAGGAATGTTGGTCCATATCTGTGTATTTATATAGTTATTTGTTAAAAATTAAGCTGGAAACCAGTGTGGCACTTTTCATATTCTTGTTGACATCATCCATCATCCATCATTTGTAGCAAGAACAGCCTGTTCAGAGTTGTTTTTATGTGCTGTGGAACCAGCAGAGTGAAAAACAACATTGACAGTGAGCTAGAAAGTGTATATTCTACATTGTCGAATAATAAAATATCTTTCTTGCCTATCTGTTTTTCATTTCAGAGTAGTAGACCAATACGTAGTTTGTAAACATAAATTATTAAAAAATAATGTTTACCATAATTTGGAAAAAAGAAATTCAGGAAATACAATTTTCAGGATGTTGGATAACACACTAGACACAGGGTTCAAAATTGGAAGTCCCTTTTTTCTTTGTCACTTGCATCTTGGCAATAATGATACAATCATTATTACTTGGATAATTGAGTTTTTAAAAGAATGTTTTTCCCTCTTTAAAATTAATTTCCATTCATTTTGTACAGGGAGCCCTCAAATCGCTTTTGTAAAAATTGTTTGTTGAAAAACATAAATTGGTAATAATTTTGCATCAATCATTTGGACTCTGAGGTAGCAGATGCTTCTGGCACCCCATGTCCCATCTCAGCTACATCAGTGGTAGACATTCCCACATACTCTGACAGCTTCTTTCTTTAAGCACTGGTAGTATCTCCCTGGCTTTCTGCCTCAGGGCTTTTATCAAAAGCACAAGTTGCACAGAGCAGCTCTGAAGTGTTGGGGAGTTAGTGGAAACAAAGGACCCTCAACCAATGGACATGGGAGTCTATGAATAAATGCTTCACCCTAAACTTTTTAGGGTAATTCTGAGACAAGCAGTTCTGAGGCATATTGTACACATGCCTTATACAATTCCCCATAGGGTCACCAGTGGGATTGAATTCCAGTTGCCAATAGGGGTAACCCTCAATAGTACATCCTTTGTTAGCTTTTCCTCCTTCCCTGTCTCACACTCTATACATCTTCATTCTTGCTACCTGGGATCACCTCCCCAGTAAGCTACATGTGCCCAAGTACTTTTCTCAAGCTCTGCTTTGGAGAAAATCAAGCTAGACATATGTGAACAGGCAATTTGTAATGTATATAGGCATATGCATGAGCTAAAGAAACTAGATAAGCATTAGGAGGTGGGAGTCATTTGATTGAAATATATACTCCCTTGATTACCTGAAATAACTGGCCATTGAGATATATCCTCCTGAATTAAGCTATTTTTTCTTTTTGAGATGGAGTTTTGCTCTTGTTGCACAGGCTGGAGTGCAGTGGCACCATCTTGACTCAGTACAACCTCCACCCCTCAGGTTCAAGTGATTCTTCTGCTTCAGCCTCCCGAGTAGCTGGGATTACAGACATGCACCACCATGCCCAGCTAATTTTGTATTTTTAGTAGAGACAGGGTTTCACCGTGTTGGACAGGCTGGTTTCTAACTCCTGACCTCAAGTGATCCAGCCGTCTTGGCCTCCATGTGAATAATCATATAGATATTCAAGAAGTTTATGTGTCATTCTAAGTGTCATTATAATTCAGACATTATACTTGATGGTACCATACAGTATACAGAAATCTTGTTGGGAATTTAACTGCCAGGATAAATTATTCTAGAAAAAGATTATATTTTTGACGTGACAATTCTACTTCTGTTTTAAGTGCCCTACTCATTCAGACATAGTTAGAATTATGGGATCTTAAAGCATTCTCATTTAACAGATAGGGAGACTGATGAATAGAATGGCAGTTTATGATTTAACCTTTATTATGTATTTGTATTGAATTCCTCAAGAGTCTGAATTACATAAAATAAAATCATTCCAAAATTATAAATATGCTGTGGCAAAGGTTATTTAAATTTTATACATGTATGTGTTATGATTCAGGACCACACCAAGATGAAGAGAAGCATCGACAAGGATGAGCATCCTAGGCATTCTTTTAGAGCTTTTCAAAGGGATAATATGAGCAAGAGTGTTTCCATTAAGTACAGGGTTCTAAGTAAGCTTCTATTGCATAATTTCAGAATTCCTGAATAATGTTCACATAGATTTTGTCACAGTTTGCATAGATTCTGGATCTGATCATGATCATCTGAGAAATGTGGCCAAATGGCTTAGCATCCTTTCTATTTCCAGCATCTTAGGATAATAGTGGAATTTCAATATCCTAGTACCCTTCAATAGCCCATTGTGACTCCCTCCTCTATGATTATTTAGGGTATTAGGGAATTATGAAAAATTAAAAGTATTATTATTAGATTTTTCTACATCCCTGGAATATTATTTGTGAAACATTTATTCTTTGAATGGATCAATAATTACGTAGCTAAAATTGCACATAAACATAGGAAAACTAAATTTAACATTGTACTTGAGTTTTTTAAGAATGTGAGGAATTACTATTGAAACATTAGAAACAGTAGAGGCAATATGAATAGATATTAAGGACTGCAGAGAAACTTCTTTCATGTCTATTTTGCTAACCTTCTCTACAGTATTTTTGTAAAAGACTCTTGAATATTTTGCCTTTCAAGAGAAGGGTAATAATCCATTTAGAAATGAATGATGGACTTAGAAAAAATTATTGAGTGCCAAACTTACCTGTATGTTCACCAGGTGACTCTGTTAGTCATTGATCATATATTTAGAGTAGAACTCAATTCTCCCATGGTATTTGTTTTTGTCCAATAATCACTCAGCTAACATTTCTGGAGTCCCTATTATGGATAAGGCACTATCTTATACCCTCTAAGAAAAAGAGATAAATGAGATAGGATCAGTGCCTTCAAAGAGATTATAGCCTAATAGGAATAATAATTGTGTTATAATAGGTTAAGTTGTGTAAAAATAGATGCAAATATGTAGTGGAACAATACAATAAATGCTTGTATCTTTCTCACTTAGCCAGGATACAGCTGAAGCAGAAAAGTAGAGAGAAAGTATTTGTCCTGCTAGGGACATCAGATCTTACAGTGAAGCTGTATCACTTTAGACAGCGTGGTCTTGGTACAGAGATGAGCATATTTACAAATACCATTGAGTCCAGAAACAAGCCAAGGCATTAATGGAAGCTTAGTATGTGTCAAAGGCAGATGTCATATATAGGAGTGCAGAGTGGGGAACTGTTCAATAAATTGAACAGCTCAAAAGAAACCTTACAAGCCAGAAGGAATTGGGGTCCTATCACTAGCCTCCTGAAACAGAATAATTGTCAAAGGAGCTCTAAATCTTGAAATAGAAAGTTGATATGTACCTCTTGAAAGCATAAAACTCATAGGGTATGTAAAATAATAACATAACTAATAAAGTATCAAGGTTACAATTAACATGATGACTGGAACACAACCTCTCATCTCAATATTAACAGTGAACATCAATGGCCTATATGCTTCACTTAAAAGATACAGATTGGCAGAATGGATAGCAAAATTACAAACCAAAATATTTGCTTCTTCAACAGACTTATCTAACACATAAATATTTATATGAACTCCAGATAAATGAGTGGCAAAAAATATTTCATGCAAATGAAAACCAAAAGGGAGCAGGAGTAGCTATTCTTATATCAGTTAAAACAGATTTTAAAGAAATAACAGTAAAAAAAAGACAGAGAAGATCGTTAGGGAATGAAAAAAGGACAAATTAAACAAGAAGATATTACAATTCTATATATATGTATGTGTGTAACTCTGGAGCTTCCAGATTCATAAAACAGTTACTGTTAGACCTAAGAAATTTGATGGACAGCAACAAAATAATTGTAGGGAACTTCAACACTTCACTGATATTACTAGACAGATCATTGAGGTAGAAAGTCAACAAAGAAACAGTGGATTTAAACTATACTCAGAACAAATGTACCTAACAGGTGTTTACAGAACACTTGACCCAAGAACTGCAGAATATACATCCTTCTCATTAGCACATGCAACATTGTCTAAGATAGACCATATAGTAAGTCACAAAACAATTCTCAATAAATTTTAAAAAGTCAAAATTATATCAAGTATCTTCTCAGACTGCAGTGAAATGAAACTAGAAATCAACTCCAAAAAGAACCCCCAAAACTATAAAAACACACGAAAGTTAAACAATATGTTGCTGAATGATTTTTGAATTAACAATGAATTCAAGATGGAAATTTAAAAATAATTTGAAATGAATGGTAACAGTGACTCAAGTTATCAAAACCTCTAGGATACAGCAAAAGCAGTGCTAAAAGGAAAATTTATAGTGCTAAATTCCTATATCAAAAACTCTGAAAAATCGCAAATTGACAAACTAACATCATCTAGTTCTCAACGAAATACAGAAGCCAAAACAAACCAAATCCAGAGCTAGTAGGAGAAAATAAATAACAAAGACCTGAGCTGAACTAAATGAAACTGAAACAAATTAACAAAAAATACAAAAGATTAATGAAAAAACTTTGGTCTTTACAAAGATAAACAAAACTGATAGACCATTTGCTAGATTGACCAAGAAGAGAAAGATTTAAATGAGCTCAATTAGAAATGATAATGGAGACATTACAACCAATACCACAGAAATGCAAAAGGTAACTGGAGACTACTATCAACACCTCTATGCATACAAAATAGAAAATCTATAGAAAATAGATAAATTTCTGGAAACACAAAACTCTTCTAGGTTAAATCAGGATGAAATAGAAACCCTGAACAGACCAAAAACAAGCAGTGAAAAATTGAATCAGGAATACAAAAATTACTAACAAAAAACCCCCAGGGCTAGATGGATTCACAGCTGAATTCTACCAGACATTCAAAGAAGAATTGGTTTTAATCCTACTGAAGCTATTCCAAAAGATTAAGAAAGAGGGACTCCTCTCCAACTCATTCTAAGAAGCCAGTGGCAACCTGATACAAAAACTGGGAAATGACATAACAAAAAAGTAAACTACAGATTAATATCCCTGATGAACATAGATGCAAAGATCCTCAACAAAATACTGGCAAACTTAATCTAACAGCATATCAAAAGATAATATACCATAATCAAGTGGGTTTCATCCCAGGGATGCAGTAATGGTTTAACATATGCAAATCAATAAATGTGACACATCATATAAACAGGATTAAAAACAAAAACTGTATGGGCATTCAAAAGCATTTGATAAAATCTAGCATCTCTTAATGATAAAAAAAAAAAAACAACTAGGCATAGAAGGGACATATTTCAAAATGATAGAAGCCATATATGACAAACCCACAGCCAACATCATACTGAATGGGGAAAAGTTGAAAACATTCCCCTTGAGAACTGGAACAAGACAAGGATGCTCACTTTTATCACTTCTTTTTAACCTATTACTGGAAGTCCTAGTCAGAGCAATCAGGCAAGAAAATGAAATAAGGGGCATCCATATTGGAAAAGAGGAAGTCAAACTATGGCTGTTTGCTGATGATATGATACCTAGAAAACCCTGAAGATTCTTCTAAAATTTTTAGATTTTATAAACAATCAGTAAAGTCTCATGCCACAAAATCAATGTACACAAGTCAGTAACACTCCTATATACCAACAGCAACCAAAATGAGAATAAAATTAGTAATTCAATTTCTTTTATAATAGATGCAAAAAAATGTCTAGGAATATACTTAACCAAGGAGATGAAAGATCTCTCTGCAAGAACTACAAAACAATGCTGAAAGAAATCATAGATGACACAAACAAATGGAAACACATTTCATATTCATGGATTGGAAGAATCAATATTGTGAAAATGACTATACTGTCCAAAGAAATCTACAGATTCAATGCAATTCCTATCAAAATACCAACGTCATTTTTCACAGAATTAGAAAAAACAATTCTAAAATTTACATGGAACCAAAAAGACCCCAACCAGCCAAAGCAATCCTAAACAGAAAGAACAAGCTGAGGCATCATATTATCTGACTTCAAATTATACTACAAAGATATAGCTACCAAAGCTGCATGATACTGGTATAAAAGTAGACACATAGACCAGTGGGACAGAATAGATGACTCTGAAATAAAACCAAATGCTTATGATCAAATGATCTTTGACAAAGCATACAAAAACATAAATTAGAGAAAGGGCATTCTATTTAATAAATGGTGCTGGGAAAACTGGATAGTTAACATATAGAAGAATGAAACTGGACCCCTATCTCTCACCTTATACAAAAATCAACTCAGGATGGATCAAATACTTAAATCTAAGACCTGAAACCATACAAATTCTGCAGTGGGGGGGGGTGGAAACTAGAAAAAATCTAGACATTGGCCTAGGCAAATAATTTTTGACTAAGACCCTAAAAGCAAATGCAACGAAAATAAAAATAAATAGACCTAATTAAACTAAAAGGTTTCTGCACAGCAAAAGAAATTATTATCAGAGAACAGACCACCCATAGAATGGGAGAAAATATTTGCAAACTATGCATCTGACAAAGGACTAATATTCAGAATCTACAAGGAACTCAAACAAATCAGCAAGGAAAAAGACAAGTAATATAATCAAAAAGTGGGCAAATGACATGAATAGACAGATCTCAAAACAAGATACAGCTGACTAACACACATGAAAAAATGTACAGCATGATGATTCAGGGAAATGCAAATTGAAACCACAATGAGATATCGCCTTACCCCTGCAAGAATGGCCTTATTAAAAAGTCAAAAACAATAGATGTTGGCATGGAAGCAGTGTAAAGGGAACGTTTATACACTGCTGCTGGGAATGCAAATTAATGCAATCTCTATGGAAAAATGGTGTGATTTCTTAAAGAACTAAAAGTAGATCTACCATTTGATACAGCAATTACACTACTGGGTGTCTACGCAAAGGAAAAGAGTCATTATTTCAAAGACACCTGCACATGGATGTTTATTGCAGCACAGTTAACAATTGCAAAGATGTGGAACTACATTAAGTGGCCTTTGACCAATGAGTGGATAAAGAAAATGTGATATACGTACACCATGGAATAGTACTCAGTCATAAAAAAAAGAATGAAATAATGTCTTTTGCAGCAATTTGGATGGAGCTGGAGGCCATTATTCTAAGCGAAGTAATTAAGGAATGAAAACTAAAAAATGTATATTCTCATTTATAAGTGGGAGCTAAGTTATGGGTACATGAAGGCATACAGAATGGTATAATGGACTCTGGAGACTCAGAAGGATGAGGATAAGAGGGGAGCGAAGGATCAAAAACTAAATATTGAGTACAATGTACACTACTTGGGTGACAGGTTCACTAAAATCTGAGACTTTGCCACTATATTATTCATTCGTGTAACCAAAAACCAATTGTACCCTAAAAGTTATTGAAATTAAAAAAAAAAAAAACAGAACAGGAAATAAAGTTCATTCTAACAGAAAAAGGTAAAATTGAATTCTTTTCTCATGGCCTATACAAAAATTAAATCTACATTAATTAAGGACCTACTGGCAGTAACACTTTAAACTCTTAGTAGAAACCATAGGGTGAATATCTTTTAGATGTAGGGATAGGAAAACAATTATTCAATAAGACACAAAAAATATTGACAATAAAAGATTGCTATATTTAATATTTTAAAATTAAGAATATCTTAAAAATTAAAAACCTTTTTAAAAGCTGTCAGAAGTTAACAAACTTGTTGAAGTTATTCACAGTTCACGCTGTAAAAGGATTAAATCAAGAATATATAAAATACATCTTAAAAACAATATGGGTGCAAACAACCCAAAGGAAAACCTAGGCAACAGATATGAAAAGGCATTTTACAGAGGAAATAACATATCACCAATGAACAGAGGAAAAGATGTCCACATCCTGCTGATCAAGGAAATGCAAATGAAGACTGGAATGAAAAACAGTACATACACATTTTATATACATTCAATTGAAAAAATATATGTTTAAAGTATCTGTCAAAATCAAATGTTGGAGAGGATACAGATTAGCAGTATTATTTTTGCAATGCTGATCAGAGTAAAAAGTAATGCAACCATTTTAGGATAGTTTGGTATTACTTTATAAATTCAAAAGTCACATTCTCTTTGACTCAGCAATTCTATTCTCGGGTATATGTCCAAGAGAAACTATGCTTGTACAAAAGGTGAGAAGTACAAGAATAATTTATCAACATATCAAAATAGCAATAACCTGGAAATGACACATTCATATCAGAAGAATAAAGAAATAGCACATTATATAGCATATGAAAAGAATTAAATACAGTGAAAGGCAATGATACGATGAATCTTAGCAATATAATGTTATGTGGAAAAGTAAGTCTCACAAGATTAATGCAGTAATGCTCTTGATATAAAATTAAAAACTAAGCATTCTTTTTAAGAAAGCCTGTGAAATAAATTAATCTCTGTAAAAAGGCAAACACTGGACTGGAGTTAGTGTGATGGGTGTCCTTGGCATAGTCAGGCAGGAGGATGGGATCAATGGTGGTCGTATTTTGTGATGTGGCTTTCATACTTAGTTGCGGGCCCTGACTTTGCTTTAGGTGGTAGGTTCTGGGTGTGTTTTACATTATAAAAAATAATTAACTAATAAACTAAATAAGTGAGCTGTGCCCAGATCAATAGAGACTGTCATGTCTAACAGAGGTCTCAGTAAAAAATAAGTAAAAATTTAAAAACATATCTTCTATTGCTTGAACCCAGGAGACGTAGGTTGTGGTGAGCTGAGATTGTGCCATTGCACTTCAGCCTGGGTAACAAGAGTGAAACTCCATCTCAAAAAACAAACAAAAAAACAAACAACGACAACAACAAAAATATATATGTATATATATATCTTCTATTTATCTTTGTCTGAAAATCATATCATAAAAATTATTACCTGGCACACTATTAATAGGAAATTAAAAGATACTTGGTTTTCAGTTTTAATGGGAGATCATTTAGAGTTGTAGGGTCTTCTCATTTAAAGAGAGCAGTTTACCAGCTATGCAACCTTACAGCACACTTCCTGTAAATGTAAAGGAAGCTTATAATATCCACTTCACTGAAATTTTTTGTTTTCAAATTAACAGTGTAATGTTGAGAAAGTACACAATAAATTTTGGTAACTTAAACATAGGTAACTTGGAGTATCCATGTACCAGAACACACTATTTAATTCTCACAATCCTATTTCTTAACTATAGTTTATGTGCCCCCATGTATTTTTGTCATACAAATCAAGAAATACTACTATTAATGTTAGTGTCTTTGCATGTTTGGATGACTGAAAAAAAATGGTGAGTGACCAATAATATTTTTCATATACACATTTGCTAACTTATAGGAGTGATAGTCTCAGTAGACATAGGAGTTTTGTGATAATATCAGTAGATAATATGGGAGTTTTGTGCATTTCTGCTCTTAGAAGACTAAAGGCAAATGCACTAACAAATAATCTGAGAATGAATGCTCTTGTTGAGTAAATTAGTGTATCTTCAGAGTGCCATGGGGTAACACCCCTTTATGTATTTTCTAACCTTTATAGAAAGTGAGCAATATTGATTGCTTTTGAATATTCTTCAATTATATTTTTAATCCATTTAAGTAGATCTTATAACTAACATCCTAAGGTGTGCATTTTGTCTTATTTCTTTCTTTTCCCCCTCTTTTTACAGCCTTGTGAACAAGGACGCCGGATGAAGCGAATCCATGCTGTGGCTAACATCGGCACGGCACTCAAGTTCCTTGAAGGAAGAAAGGTAAGAGAGAAACAAAAACAAAACACTTAAGGAAGAAAGTATGGGCATACTTATGTTTTCAGTATTGGCTGTGGGGTCAAAACACTACATGTAATCTATACAGCATAGATATACAATATTATTATATTATAAAATAATCTTAGATGTGTGGAAAAGTTGCAAAAAAAGAGATTTCATTTCTACTGTTCATTTCAGCTTTTAGTGTTAAGAACTTACATAACCATAGTACAATTATCAAAGTAAGGAAGTTAAAATTGGGATGATAGTATTAACTAAAGCATAGATATTAGTCCAAGTTCATTAATGCTCCCTCTATTGTCTGTGTCTGACCCAGGATCCACTCTAGAATCACACCTTGCATTTAGTTGTGTCTTCCATTCTATGACAGGTCTTCATTCTTTCCTTGTCTTTCATGACCTTGACACTTTTGATAACTGCTGGTCAGTTATTTTGCATCATGTCTCTCAATGTCATTTTGTATAATGTTTTCTCATGATTAGGCTGAGTTTATACATTTTTGGGAAAAATCCCAAAGAAGCATTGTTATATTCTTCTCAGTGCATCATATTAGTAAATATAGGATGCTGATATGTCTTATTACTGGTGACCTTCACTTTGAATACTTGGTAATGTGGTGTCTGCTGTGTTTTCCTATAGTAAAGTCACTGTTTTTCCCTTTATAGTTGGGAAATAACTTGGAAGAGATTATTGAGACTATGCTAATTTTCTGCTTTTCCTCAAACTTTTGCTCATTGATTTTAGCAAAAGTTTCAATAATTATTTCGGTACTGCTTGTCTAATGGTGATTTTTATCTCCCTCATTCCTTCTATATTTATTAATTGAAATTGTTCTGTAAGAAAAAGATGTCCTCCCCCACAATTTACTTATTTATTCAATTATTTATTTCAGTATAGACACATGTATATTTATTTTGTTCTATAGTTAAAATCCATCATTATAATATTTGTTATTACTTTGTAACTTAAATTGTTCTAGCTTTGACCACTAAGAGGTCCTTCAGGCTAGCTCCTGAACCTTTTTGACATAGACTCATAATTTTTCAAGCAGTTTTTTATTTGCTAAAACTATAAATATTCTAGGTTTATCTTTTATTTTCCCTTTCCCAATCCTGGAATCAACCACTTCTCTAAAGAGGCTTTGTTTCTTTTAATGATGAATGGTATTTAGAAACCAAGATCTCAATTCCACGTATCTCATTGTTACTGGGGCATCATTGCTCCTAGCCCCTCTCAGCAAATAGATTAGAAAATGTGTATGTTTATTAACCCATATATATACACGTATCTGTGCTCCTCTCTCTCCCTCTTTGTCTCTCTCTCTCTCTGTCACTCTCTGTCTGTTTCTATATGTGTGTGCATGTATATATACAAATACATATGTAGCTTCTTGTGTGTGTCTGTATGTGTATAAAACATTAGTTCAAACTAATACCTCTGATTCGAGTTAAACACTGCAAGTTTTATTCTAGCCATATGTTCTTATTTGTTTCTGCTTTCTCTGATAATGAGAAGCCGTACTCTCATCTATAATATATTTACTTATTTTTTCAACCCTCGTGTATTAGTCCATTCTCACATTGCTATAAAGAAATACCCAAGACTGGGTAATTTATAAAGAAACGAGGATTAATCAGCTCATGGTCCTGCAGGCTGCTCAGGAAGCATAGTCCTGGCATCAGTTGCTGGGGAGGCCTCAGGAAGCTTACAGTCATGGTGGAAGGTGAAGGAGGAGCAGGCACGTCACAAGGCCAGAACAGGGGCAAGAGAGCAAGTGGAGAGGTGCTGCACACTTTTACACAACCAGATCTTATAAGAACTCACTCACTATTGTGTGAAGAGTACCAAGATGGATGGTGCTAAACTATTCGTAAGAAATCTGCCCTCATGATCCAATCACTTCCCACAGGATTCACCTTTAACATTGGGGATCACATTTCAATATAAGATTTGAGTGGGAACATGTCTACAAACTGTATCACCTGGTGTACATACCTGGTATGTCACTAACCCATGCCCTTGTGAGAAACAGATTTACAAACCAGAGAACAGGATTTGTGTATAGTTTTTGTCTTTAGCATTATGGTATCCAGTCAGAAGTCTATTTTTGAAATGTACTTAGGTTAGTTCTATTCTTCCCATCCTCTTCAGTGAGATTGTGTCATCATTTGTCATAGAGATAGACTTATTTGTTGCTGTTTGTGTTCAATTTTGTGCCCCACCCCCATCCTGGTCAGTTTTATTATTTGTTTTGAAGTGTGGGACATCACTATGGTTTGAAGATAATGAACATTATACTTAAAGAAGTCCAATCTCCGCCTCCAAATCCTACTACTCCATTCTCACTCCCTGCCTTTAACTGCATTTCCCAGCTTTAGGTAACCAGTCTCTCTAGTTTCTGACATACATTTTGCATTTTTCCACAAATAAGATGTGTTTTCATATATCCCCTTCTTTGTTACATGAAGGATCGCATACCATAGGTGGATTTTACTTTTTTCACTTATCAATATATCCTGGAAATCACCCCACATCAGTTCACAGTGATTTCTCTACTCATTTTTACAGTTATAGCACCCCATTGCCTAGATGGGCCATAGTTTAGGCACATCTAGGCAATGGGGCCCTATAATTGAGTAGTTATTCAACTACTCTCTTATGAATGGGAATTGGGTTGTTTCTAGTATTTTTTAAACACAAAAAATGATGCAGTTAATAATTATGTGCATAAGTGCTTCCATATAATTGGAGGTGTATCTTGTAGGTAAATTTCTAGAAGCGTGGTTGCTAAGTCAAAAGGTAAATGCACATGTAATTTTGGAAATATTGCCATATTTCCCTACAAAAGGGTGGCACCAATCCTTACATTTAGCCTTTTCTAACTTGTGGGAATTTAGGAAGTCTGTGTTTGGTAATACCAAAACTAGTTTTATAAGTGGAGAGCCAGATACTTTCTGAAAAATAGACCCATTCAGTTATTTCCTTCTCAGTTTATATCCACTGAATTAATTCAATTACTTTACAAATATATAATTGATGACTTTCTATAAGACAGAAACTCTAGAAAATAGAAATTTAGGGAAAACTTAGATCTAGCTTTTAAATAGTTTACATTATTGATAAGTTGGGAATGCAATGAATCAGTATACATTTCAGTCAGTTGTGCAAACTTCATGCCCAAGAAAGATTCCAGGCATTAGTATAGTGTGGAAAACCATTTTGTCTACTTATGCAACATCAGACAGTGTTTTCAGATCACACTAATCTCATTCTTATTGAAGGGTTTCTCTTGTATCTGCTGAATGAAGCCTTGTTAAACAGGATAGTTAGAATTTTTCAGGACCAGGCACAGTGGCTCACACCTATAATACCAACACTTTAGGAGGGCAGGCAGGTAAATGACTTGAGCCCCAGAGTTTGAGACCAGACTGGGCAACATGGTGAGACCTTGTCTCTAAAAAAAAAACAAAACAAAATCAGCCAGATGTGGTGGCACATGCCTATTGTCCCAGCTACTCGAGAGGCTGAGGAGGGAGGATCTCTTGAGCCTGGGAGGTTGAGGCTACAGTGAGCTGTGATTGCACCACTGCACGCCAACCTGAGTGACAGAGCAAGACTCTGTCTCTAAAAATAAATAAATAAATAAATAAATAATAAACATAGAGATTTTCAGGTCACTCATTCTCCCATTTCAGCTGTATGATAACAGTCATACTTTATTCTGAGTTCTATTGATTGGCTGGAATGCAAAAGCAAAAATTCCTCTTATTAATTTGTAAGCCTTGGAGAAAACTTTAGCAGCGTAACCTATGAAAGGCATTGTTTATAAAGACTTGTTTTTTCAATGTCCATTTTCACAGAACAACCCAAAGTTATTTTTTTAAAAAGTTTAAATATATTTTCTAAGCTTAGAAAGTATTTTCTTGAGTCTCAGAACAAAATGACAGAATTTCTCTTTTTTCCCCACAAATCTCTTAATTTTTTTTAAAGTCACCCCCCTCCATACCCCTCTGAAACATGGTTTTGGCCACACGCTCTTGTACTTCTGTATCCCATGGCCTCACAAAATGTTTGGCTCTGGAAAGTAATGAGTTTTTTAAGGTATTTTGGTGCCCTCCCACTTAATATTTTAGCTTTCTTCTTTACAAGTTAAGACTTATGTCTCAATCATATTTTTAGAAATTTGTCTTTGATCTTTGTACTGACTTTGTCTTCCATTTGGAATATTTTTCTTTTGATGACAGTATATTTATTTAGCCCTTATATTCTTATTTAGCTTGACTTAAGGAATAATGAAAATATTTCTCATTTTACTGGGGAAGCCCTAACAGTGTCTTTGGTTTTTCTCTTATTTGCAGGGCTATTGAAAAAACATATGTAAGAATCTGATAAGAAATGTGTAAATGTGACTCTGGTGAACAGATCTATCACCACTTTCCAGAAGTTTCTTTCTCCAGTCAGGTGTCAGGTAGAACATTCAGAACAGTAAAGCAGGGAGCCAACCACTGACCACCACAGTGCAGTCAGGGACATCAATTCAGGTTCCTGTGAAGTCTGGAAAGGTGATGTGAAGGAATGCAGTGAGTTCCAGGCTAACTATGGTAACAGGAGAACTGAGTGGTCCTGCATCATGTCTGGAAGAAGGAAGCAAATAGTTCCAACTAGAGTAACCTCAGTGAACTGCAAGAACCATGATCCCAGGTTTTCTAATTTATCAGGAAAAGCCAGTCATCTGGACTTTTATTAAAATGTGATTAATGTTTAAAATTCCTTTAAATTATGTATTAAATAAGGCAGGCAGTTGACTACTCACATTATTGTTGAGAATTAGGTCCTGATACCTCATTGTAGAAAGTAACTTACTGAGAGTTTTTTGAAATTTATTTCCAAATAATTCAAACTTTTTTTTTTTTTTTTTGAGACAGTCTTGCTTTGTCGCCCAGGCTGGAGTGCAGAAGCATGAACTCAGCTCACTGCAACCTCCACCTCCCAGGTTCAAGTGATTCTGCTGCCTCAGCCTTCTGAGTAACAGGGACTATAGGCACACGCCACCAAGCCTAGCAATTTTTTTGTATTTTTAATAGCGACGGAGTTTCACCATGTTGGCCAGGCTGATCTGAAACTCCTGACCTCAGGCTATCTGCCCACCTAGGCTTCCCAAAGTGCTGGGATTATAGGCATGAGCCACTGCGACTGGCCTCAAATTTTTTTTTTAAACATCTGTGAGCTGCATATTAATCCACTTTGGCTACCATAGCAGAATATCACAGACTGGGTGGCTTAAACTATAGAAATTGATTTTGTCACAGTTTTGGAGGCACAAAATCCAAGATCAAAGTTACTCAGGGTTGTTTTCCGGGGAAGCTTCTCTTCCTGGCTTGCAGACAGTTCCCTTCTCTTTGCGCCCTTGCTTGACATTTTCTACATGTGAGTGTGGAGAGAAAGATCAATCTTTTGTATCTCTCCATCTTTTTTGGTATTCATTATTATTATTATTATATTTTAAGTTCTGGGATACATGTGCAGAACATGCAGGTTTGTTGCATAGGTATACACGTGCCATGGTGCTTTGCTGCATCCATCAACATTAGATATTTCTCCTAAAGCTATCCCTCCCCTAGTCCCCCACTCCTTAACAGACCCCAGTGTGTGATGTTCCCCTTTCTGTGTCCATGTATTCTCATTGTTCAACTGCCATTTATGAATGAGAACATGAGGTGTTTGGTTTTCTGTTCCTGTGTTAATTTGCTGAGAATGATGGCTTCATCCAGGTCCCTGCAAAGAACATGAACCCATCCTTTTTTATGGCTGCATAGTATTCCATGGTGTATATGTGCCACATTTTCTTTATCCAGTCTATGATTAGTGGTATTTGGGTTGGTTCCAAGTTTTTGCTATTGTGAATAATGCTGCAGTAAACATATGTGTGCATGTGTCTTTATAGTAGAATGATAATCCTTTGAGTATATACCCAGTAATAGGATTGCTGGGTCAAATGGTATTTCTATGTCTAGATCCTTGAGGAATCACCACAGCATCTTCCACAATGGTTGAACTAATTTACACCCCAACCAACAGTGTAAAAGTGCTCCTATTTCTCCACATCTTCTCCAGCATCTGTTGTTTCCTGACTTTTTCATGATTGCCATTCTAACTTGCATGAGATGATATCTCATTGTGGATTTGATTTTCATTTCTTTAATGACCAGGGATGATGAACAGTTTTTCATATGTTTGTTGGCTGCATAAACATCTTCTTTTGAGAAGTGTCTGTTCATATCCTTTGCCCTCTTTTTGATGGAGTTGTTTGTTTTGTTCTTGCAAATTTGTTTAAGTTCCTTGTGGATTCTGGATATTAGCCCTTTGTCAGATGGATAGATTACAAAATTTTTCTCCCATTCTATAGGTTGCCTGTTCACTCTGATGATAGTTTCTCTTCATCTTTTTTGAGAACACTAATCTCCTTGGGACCAGCATGGTGGCTCACTCCTGTAATCCTAGCACTATGGGAGGCCAAGGCCCCTGGATTGCTTGAGATCAGGAGTTCGAGACCAGCCTGGCAAACATGGCGAAACCCCATCTCAACTAAAAATACAAAATTAGCCAGGTGTGGTGGCACATGCCTGTAGTCCCAGCTACTCGGGAGTCTGAGGCAGGAGAATTGCTTGAACCTGGGAGGTAGAGGTTGCAGTGAGCCGACTGCAACTCCTTCCTGGGTGACAAAGACTAGTCTCAAAAAAAAAAATGGGGAGAATACAGATCTTATTGGATTAAGGACATGCTTATGAGCTAATTTAATTTCAATTATCTCTTTAAAGACCCATTCTCCAAATACAGTCACATTGGGAGTTACGTTTAAAAATGCAAATTTTGGAGGGACACAAATCATAATTCGTTCTCTATGAGCGTCTGTCTTATAAACTCAGACTTCTCCAGATTACATGGGCCAGGCACAATGGTCTAGTCCAGAATTCTCAAGTGCTAATGTGCATCAGAATCACCTGAAGGTTTGAACACACTTTCCGGAGCCTCACTTCCTTAGTATCTGGTTTAATAGGTCCAAGGTAAAGTCTCAGATTCAATATTCCTAACAAGTTTCCAGGTGACGTCCTTGCTGCTACTCTGGCATTCACACTTTGAGAACCACTGACTCAGTATCCTTCTGCTCTGGTTTTATCTGTCAATATGGCCCCATCTTCTTTCTGGCTTCTGGAAATTCTTCAGTCTCTTTGGATGTCTCTCTATTGGCCATCCTACCCTCCCAGGCTATTAAGAGTATATTGTAAGTTCAATAGGATTTTGCAAGAGATGAGAGGTTAAATAAAGAGACAAACCAAGCTGTGCTCCCTAACTCATTGTGAGACACATAGTAAGGGCAGATAATCATGAAAAATATTTTTCTTTGCAAGTTAGGCAAAAGATCCTTTAGCTTCTGTAATAAATTGAATATATTAACAATGTACAATTCCAAGTACAATTGGAACTGGGTTGAGGTAGGATATTCAAATTATATTCAATAGCATTTTTTTAAAAAAAGATACCCAAGGAAAAGGAAGCAATCTGTCCCCTATGAATTGCATTAATCTTGTGGTTATTAGGATATATTATAAATTTTTGGTGTATGTATGTTAAAATGGATGTGGAGAAAATTCTGGAGAAGTGGTACAATGAAGCGTTCAAAATGATCGGAGTGATCGTAATAGATTCTTTCATAAAAAGTTAAAAAATACTGGTGCTCTTTATTTTCCACAAACATAAATTAAATGTCTTCTACTGCTCAATTCAAAACAAGTAGATATACGAGTTTATAATCTATGCCAGTTCTCAATTTTTTTTTCTGTCATTGAACCTGATGAATGAACTTCACCAGTGAGACAAAAATCCCATAGGCATACCTCAAATCGTTTACAATGATTTTTGTGCTAGCTTTTACTCCACCCCTGTGATGTAAAACAAGTAAATTTAAACTTTCAAGAGTAAAGTATTTGTGAAATGATTTTGCATCTGACAAAAGTATTTAAGTAAAAAATGTACAAATACCTGAGCTTTTTATTAATAACACACTTCATGAAATCTTGGCTGGAAATTATTGAGCTAGAGGTCTGAGGAGTACTTTATATTATTTTTCTTAATTTGTTTAGGAATTATAAAAATGGTGTTTTTAATGGTAGGCTATAGAAATTGAGTGAGGTAGACTTACACATGTAAGTCCATTTTGTTGGGACTTAGCAAATAAGTTTGTAGTAGCTGGGAAAACATTAACATGAATAATTGGGGACAATTGTACATAGATTGATGTCTCTCCTGAATATTTTCTATGTCATTGCCCCAAAGCAGGGAACTGAATGCTAATAGACTCCATTTTGCTATTTCTTGCCTTTCCTTTGTTTTTCTTTAAAATGTATTACCACAGTTAGATTCTAAACTGACTACCTACCTCTTTATTCCCTTTGAACAAATAACGCTGATTTCGAAAGATGATTTATGTATATCTATTATCTTCTTCCTTTGTTTTTCATGTCAGTCCATGCACAGAGGATCACCGGTTAGTACAAAGTTTAGAATTCTTAACTCCTGATTTTTATAGGTAAAAGGGAACATAAGTTTCATGCTATTTGGTACAAACTTCAAAGTAAGTGCATTTTCTTAAACTTCTCATTCCAGTTTATTTTAAGCTCCAGTCAACCTCTAAGTATAAAGAATAACACTTATTTCTGTTTGGCATTTTTGTTGGTAATTCCCTGCATGTTATATTTTTTCAACTTTAAACAAAAGAAGTTTCTGAAATCCATTTTACAGTTTTTACTTTACACACCTAACAAATCCCCCTGAAATTTTCACTGAAACCATATGCTTGTTTGTTGCAATGCCTCACTCTACTTACTCCTGTGTACCATTACATAGGCATGATCAAATCTTATTGATGTCTACTAAAGGCCTAATTGTTATGTAATTAAATGAGTTATCATATTCCAGTACATTACTAGTACAGATTCTCTTTTTTTAAACAGATTAAATTAGTCAACATCAACTCCACCGATATAGCTGATGGGCGACCCTCAATAGTTCTTGGATTGATGTGGACCATTATTCTGTATTTCCAGGTATTGTGCTACAGTTCCTTTTTTAGTTGATGCAATGTCTCGGAGGGAGAACATGGTAGACATTTTAATAATGATTTCATTTGTCATATATTTGGGGTTGATCCTTAACGTAGCAGAAATGTACCTTTCACACATACGTTGTTTCTGTGGTAGCAGAAATTCCTCTTTTCTCTTGCAAAGCTGTTGCACATGGAACTTTACTCCCCAAAGAACTCCAGCAGAGGTGCCCAGTCTGAAAAGTGAGCATCTCACAGTGGAGGGGAAATGTTGGTGCAGAAGGAGCTCAGGAAAATTTTGTTTTTTCTTTGGAAGGGAGCAGTTCTAAGCTCCTTGTAGAGAAGAAGGGAAGAAATGAAGTTGCCATTCTATCCAGAATAATTGTTCTAACCATTAGGTTAGATTTTAGTTGAATAATTCATTCAGGTAATCTACAAATATGTATTCTTGTGTGTAAGATACAGCTAGGGGAGCAATGGGAAGTGCAAAGAAGAGTAAGATATCAATCATGCCCGTTAAGAGCTTGCATTTTGTCAGGGGTGTCAAAGGAGTTAACATAACTCATTTGTAGCTGGAAAAGTAAAATATCTGGGGAAATAACAACAAAGATAATGCTTATTTTTCTGCTGGCTGTTAACTCATAAACAGATCGAAGAGTTGACCAGCAACCTGCCCCAGCTCCAGTCTTTGTCCAGCAGTGCATCCTCCGTGGACAGCTTAGTTAGCTCTGAGACTCCCAGCCCTCCAAGTAAACGGAAGGTGACCACCAAGATCCAAGGGAATGCTAAGAAGGCTTTATTAAAGTGGGTTCAGTACACGGCTGGGAAGTAAGTATCAAGAGTTTGTCTAAATTTGAAACCGTTAAATAACTTGTGTTATGAATGTATTACCAATTACGCCTTCTAATGATTGCAAAATGTGAAGAGACATTTGAATGAATGACTTTGCTTTAGCACTTGTTTCATTCTTTCCTTGAATTGGGATATAAAAACAAATCACCACTAATACTCTAGAAAAATGCTCTTATAAAATTATTTTTTCTTCATTCATGTGATTGGGCCTAATTAATTAAACTGATTAATCCTAAACTTTGATGAGTAGCATGAGGGCTAATTCTATTTAGGCCATTGTTTAGAGTTTCTGCTCCTATTAAATGATCTTTACACAAATAAATTCGAAGTTTAAACTTGGTTATCTCTTCATGAGAGATATTTGTGTTCTGCTTAAGAACAATGTGAACTAAAGTACCCATTCTAAAACACTTATGTTTGTTTTTATGTTCTGAAATTTTCTAGCAGTTTTATTTTAAAAAATTTTTCCCTTTCGTCTCATTTTTTTATCTAGAGTGTAGATTTTTTGTTAGCTCTAGCTTTATGAATTGAGAATTTGCATCTAGGTTTCAGCTTTCCTCTAAGCATAATAAATGTACATGTGTGCACATTTATATGATAATAGTGGATAGAAAATGACTGCTCTCAGCCAGGCGTGGTGCCTCACACCTGTAATCCCAGCACTTTGGGAGGCTGAAGTGGGCAGATCGCTTCAGTTCAGGAGTTTGAGACCAACCTGGCCAATATGGTGAAACCCATCTCTACTAAAAATATGAAAATTAGCTGAGTGTGGTGGTGCACGCCTGTAATCCCAGCTACTCTGGAGACTGAGCCACTAGAATCGCGTGAACCTGGGAGGCAGAGGTTGCAGTAAGCTGAGATCAAGATTGCACCACTATACTCCAGCCTGGGCGGCAGAGCTAGACTCCCTCTCAAAAGAAAGAAAAAGAGCAGAAATTCTTCGCTCAGAGTCGCCGCGGTTTCCTGCCTCAACAGTGCTTGGTCGGAACCGGCGCTCGTCCCCCACCCTGGCCGGCCGCCCACAGCCAGCCCTCCGTCACCTCCACACCGCGTCCTCGGACCACCCCAAGGCCCCCGCCGCCTCTCCAGTGCCGTGCAGCCACCGCCGCCGCCGCTTCTCCTTAGCAGCCGCCATGACGACCGCATCACCTTCGCAGGTGCGCCAGAACTACCACCAGGACTCAGAGGCCGCCATCAACCGCCAGATCAACCTGGAGCTCTATGCCTCCTATGTTTTGTTTTTTTTTTTTCCCATTTATTTATTTTATTGCATTTTAGGTTTTGGGGTACATGTGAAGAACATGCAAAATTGTTGCATAGGAACACACGTGGCAGTGTGATTTGCTGCCTTCCTCCCCATCACCTACACCTGTCATCTCTCCCCTTGCTATCTCTCCCCAGCTTCCCACCCCCCACCGTCCCTCCGCTATTTCCCCCCAACTGACCCCAGTGTGTAGTGCACGCCTCCTATGTTTACCTGTCCATGTCTTACTACTTTGACCGCGATGATGTGGCTTTGAAGAACTTTGCCAAGCACTTTCTTCACCAATCTCATGAGGAGAGGGAACATGCCGAGAAACTGATGAAGCTGCAGAACCAACGAGGTGGCCGCATCTTCCTTCAGGATATCAAGAAACCAAACCATGATGACTGGGAGAGCGGGCTGAATGCGATGGAGTGTGCATTACATTTGGAAAAAAATGTGAATCAGTCATTACTGGAACTGCACAAACTGGCCACTGACAAAAATGACCCCCATTTGTGTGACTTCATTGAGACACATTACCTGAATGAGCAGGTGAAATCCATCAAAGAATTGGATGACCACGTGACCAACTTGCGCAAGATGGGAGCACCCCAGTCTGGCTTGGCAGAATCTCTCTTTGACAAGCACACCCTGGGAGACAGTGATAATGAAAGTTAAGCCTTAGGCTAATTTCCCCATAGCCACGGGATGACTTCCCTCATCACCAAGGCAGTGCATGCATATTGGGGTTTCCTTTACCTTTTCTATAAGTTGCACCAAAACATCCACTTAAGTTCTTTGTACCGTTCCTTCAAATAAAGAAATTTGGTGCCAAAAAAAAAAAAAAAAAAAAAGAGAGAGAGAGAAGAAAAGAAAATGAATGCTCTTGAAAAGTATTTTCTCATAGCAATTTCAAGGGAGTTTTCAGTTGATTATACAAGTATTTTGTGGTCTGATGTGGTCAGGGATAAGTCCCTTCGTGTAGAGAGTATGCTTTTTTTGATTTTCTTAAACAATATGTAAAGTTATTCACTTTTTATCTTGTATTGCATGCTTAAATCTAATCTGAATTTGATTCTCCATTTCTGGAAAATAGTTGTAAACAAGTACTTATTATAAAATATTGAGGTGCTAAACATAGGGAGTGCTATTTTTAAGGTGTTTGAAGTACAAAAATAAAAAAAAAAGAGAGAGAAACAAAAAAGAAGTAATTAGTGTTACTAATTTATGTTGTTTTGTTTAGCATTTAAAGTGTGTTGCTGGTTTTTCTAATTTGAGGTGTGTTTTCATGATTCAAGTTGTAGTCAAATATATTTCTGAAAAAAAAGCTTTGTGGCTCTTTAGAATTTGTCATAGAAATGAAATAAAAAACCCTTTCCACATTGCTGGTACACTGTTTAATTGCATCGACAATGGCATTGCTAATCTCTATTCCAACCTAACTGGGTAGGGAGAAGACTGGTGACTATATGCTGATGTGTCATGATGCTATTGCAATTAAACTTTGTAATAATGTCAAGGTGATATTCCATGGTCCATTGCTTCAAACAGCATTAAATTAACCAAAAACAAAATGATTTTATTTTAATAAAACTGTAGCTTCAAATTTAATGCTGTTGGAGTTATCCAGCGTTTAATTTAGTTTCATGCATGCTATGTTGGGTTTCAAAGATGTGCAAGAGTCTGGTGACATCTCCAAGTCATTGCTACAGCTTGTATATTGGTAACATCAGTGGAAGTGTTACTTTTCTTATCTGGGCAAATGTCCAGAGTCCTGAACCTGAGGGTTCCCCACCCATTAACAATCAATAAGATCCTTTTCTTTTATAGCTGCGTAAATTGTAGAGGTTTGGGGAGATGACTTTTCTTTGCCATAAAAATGCTGTAACGAACATATATTTCCATTATGCTACAAGACTGTTGACAGTTTTTTCTAAAACTTTTTTTATACTATCCCTGTATGTACTTTTCAAGCAACTTATGATGAAACATGTGTAAAAGACTTTAGAATATATATCAATTTCCAGATAGGAGTGATGTTATTCCTAAAGCCATTATCTATTATCTATTATCTGTGGGACTCTAGTCTGGAAGTTCATCGCACTCGTAAGATTGAAGATGGTGGGAAATGATAAAATATCCAGTGAACACTAGACTAGTTATCAGGATATATCCACTGTTTTCATACAAAGTTTAAAAATATTTGAGAAATAAATTTAAAAATGGTTTCAGTAACATAAGATAGTTAAGCCCTCTAATTTTTAAAATGAATTTCATTCACTATCAATACATATTCTCAGAAATAAAGGCATTAAGTTATACCATATCTTACATTTGCATACCTATTGCCACATGTATAAGAAAAACAATTATGTTATTGGACAAAAATTAGTAAGGTAACAAAATAAATGAATGTATGTGTATCCATAGTTATTTAGAGTAACTTGAAGTAAGTACATATAAGAGGTCAGACATGCTTATACAATGGGCATCCTTCATCACTTCTTTAAATGGTGTGTCTAAGTTTTCTTTGGGTTTTTATCTAAAATTCTCAAATAAGAGGCTTGAACTAAAACTAAAACTTTAAAGGAATGTTACCTACTACTTTAACTGTTATAGTAGGAAACTGTGTGTGTGTGTATATGTGCATATCAACATAAATTTTTTCAGTAAATATAGAAGAAAGAAAACATACTGAAACATTTTTAATTTCAGTACAGTACGTATTTAATTATTTGTAAATATATTTAGAAAAACATAGTGTATATTTCTCTTTGAAAATGTCTAAAACAATAAACAAGTTCAAGAAAATTAGAAAATAGCTAATTACATGGTGAATATTAGCTAATTATTTACACTCCACTTAATTTTGTTAACTAATTTGAGGTGGCTTAATAAGATAAAAAAACATTTTTAAATGAGGAAATGTGGGCAAAGAAAAATAAAATGAAGCCAGAGATAGATTACAAATGAATAGATGAAAAGGACATACTGTTCAACCTGCATGGATGTCAGCTGTCTGCTGAAAACAGTTATATCCGTACTGCCAGAGACATAAGCTTGAAAATAACTAAGAGAAGACTCAAGATTACTTTATAATTACTAGAGTCTCATAAAATTGTTTTTAGGATATTTACTGATGAAACCAATGATCAGCTTCAATGATGCATAATACGTCTTATGCAAAAAGTATACATTAGTAAAACATGTTTTAAAGTGAATGATAAGTTCTCTGTGGTAAAATTTAAGGATAGACCAGACATTGTGGCTCACCCCTATAATCCCAGAACTTTGGAAGGCTGAGTCCAGTGGATCACTTGAGGCCAGGAATTTGAAACCAGCCTGGCCAACTTAGTGAAACCCATCTCTACTAAAAATACAAAATTAGCCATGTGTGGTGGCACAACCTAAAATCCCAGCTACTGGGGAGGCTGAGGCACAAGAATTTCTTGAGCCTGGGAGGTGGAGGTTGCAGTGAGCTGAGATTGTGCCACTGCATTCAAGCCTAGGCAACAGAGAGAGCGAGACTCTGTCTCAATGGTAATAATGACAATAGACACTTACAAATTATTTGTATTAATCAGCATACCAGTCAGGTTGTATTTTTTTCATGAAAAATTTGAGATTCTATTTAACTTTTTAAAAAGACACTGCAAGATGGCTTTATCCCTTGAATGTTCCCCAATTCAGTGATCATATTTGCAGGCCCTCCACTTAATCAAGGCGGGCAGCTGATTCTCAAAATGATCTTTACGACTGTTTCTGGAACTGCCTTAATAATTGATAAGTTACATGTAGAAAAGAAAACATTCATTGTGAGCTTGCCTCACTTCTGCTTTGCAACGGCAAAATATGACTGCCAACTTGAATCAGTTTTTAATAACTGGCTTTGAGTTAATCAAATCCACCACCAAAGAAAAAAGATTTACCACCAGGGAATTGCCCTCAAGGCAATTACAAAAAAGGAGTTTAAAAACAATTTTATTGATGGAGTAATTGGAATTATTGTTTGCATTTAGGTGGAATACAGGGTCCCTTGTGAACACTTTAAGAGATATAATTGCAATATTTGCCTTTGTCTATTATATTACATTTGAAAGTATTCAGCCACATTATCTTAGTCTCTTATAACCTGTGTACCACACAGTGCTACTTCCCATTAGATACGTGTTAGATCTTTCTTCAGAAAATATACAGTGGTTAATTACTGTTACTTTTGGCATCTTTATAATTTGTTTTCTCAAAAATTTTTTCAGACATTTTCCTCTAAATTAATTTTTCTTTATAAAATAAATGTTAAAAACTGCTTTAAATTAAATGTCTTAATTATTGAAAAATCCAACATAGAAATCTCTAAACATAGAAAGGGAATTTCTACATTTTATCTTGTTGTACAATTCATTGAAAAAGTTTGTTTTCCTTAATTTGTCTCAAACACAATCAACTGATACAGCTCTCTGTAAATTGTTGGTGAAAAGCATTGAATTTTGCATGAGACCTTGAAGAAGGTGCTTTTATCTATTCAGAATGTGACATCATATTTTTTATTTTTTGTAACACAAAGGCAGACTGGAATAGAAGTAAAGGATTTTGGGAAGAGTTGGAGAAGTGGGGTTGCCTTTCATTCAGTTATTCATGCCATTCGACCTGAACTGGTGGACTTGGAGAAAGTGAAAGGAAGATCCAACCGAGAAAATCTGGAGGATGCTTTCACTATTGCGGAAACAGAGCTGGGGATCCCAAGACTGCTAGATCCTGAAGGTAGGCGGAATATTTATTGACTGTTGTATACATAAACACAGAGGGTTTGTACGTCGCAAACCCAGAAATACACATGACTTCCAAGATTCTATTGGAGGCCAGAAAGCTGGAGAAAAGTGGGAAGAAATGGTATTTTCCTGCATCAGTTTTCTTCTGGATAAATATCTGCCACCATGTTTGGGGTAAAACATGATTCCATTGCTCCAAACAGCACTTTGGCATTGGTGTATCGGTCAGACGAACTGGACTTAATATACTTAAGGGTGGAGTGAAAGTTTTAGAAGTGTGGGTATGGAGGTAGGTGACAGGATAATACAATTACTCTATACAATCTCAGAGGTCTGGAAGACACAGATTATTCATACTTACAAATGTTGTTAACCATGCAGTGATTTGGTGTCAATCAGCAAATTGCACAAATGTTTAACTAATATTTGTCATTTCAATCATTTGGCACATTTTTTGGTAAGGCTGTGAATGCTAAGACATTTTGGAAATGGAGTTAACTCTTTCAAGCCTTCAAAAGACAATTTAGATACCTTTGATAAACTTTTATAAACAGTAAATTGTTAGCTATGTTGAAACAAAAGTACCAAGGTGAAGTTTCCAAATGTCATGGACAATTTCTTATTTGGTTTGGCAATTATGGACATTTCTATTAATCAATGCAAAAATTTAAATACACAGCAAAAGCAAATTATTTTTCCCATCTCTTCCCTACCCTTCCTGGCCTCTAGCAACCACCAATCTACTCTCTATCTTCATGAGATCCACAGAAAATTATTTTTAACAGTGGAATTTCAGACTGAACTTTCCTAGCTCTGAAACAAAGAGGATAGACTTGTGTTTCCAGGAGTAAGTTATAGAGACCCAGTTAGGTTTCCTCTGAGATGAAGGGCCCCATGGAGATTCCTTGCCATTTTAGGATTCTGTTTTTAGTCCCACCCTGTCCCCACCCCCCGTTTTCACTAGGATATCAAAGGGCTTTCTGCCTCCTTTCTGCACAAAAATAAATCAAGGGAAAAACACAGGGGATGTAACAGAGCTGATATTATTCCTAGAGTGGAATGAAAGGACAATATAAATGATTCTTTCATATCCATTAGATCCCAAGATCTCAATATTTTCTTTGATGATCAGAAACTGACGTTGCCTAAATACAAGGCTATCCTAGACATAAGACAGTCCTCTAATTTCTTAATAAGAACTTCCCCTTCAGAAAGTTATTTAGCCAAGTTGGATGTATAAGCTTTTAGGGATACAGATTAAATAGACCAATAGCTATTATAATAATTATTTTGTGTTTTACATATATAGTTAACAGGATATACTATGTTAAATTATGTGTTAAATGTTGCTTTCCTTTCCACTTTCATATTTCCTGAAAAAAAGTTTTGCACAATGGTTTGACTCATCACCTTTGAGTCATTTAACAAATTTTGGAATACATTATCTTTGCTTCCTTTTAAATGGTGTGAGTTGCAGCACTGTTAAACCCTACATTGCAAGTTTCTAGAAATTATACCTCTAATTAAAAAGAACATTTACAAAAGATAAGATTAGTTTTATACTTTATTATAACAACTTGATTTGCTTTTTGCTCTATAAATTGCTCTGCCAAATATAATTTTTATTGCCTTTAAAATTGATATTTAAAGGATTTGTTTACATTATATTTTTTACTTATGCATTCTTACCTCCATATATAATTACTAAATCTGTATAAATTTATTTGCCTGACTTTCGCCATTTGTATCAGATAAATATCTATAAGCTTCAAAATTACAGTGATTGAGATCTTCTCAGACAGTTTCCCTCAAAGAGCGCTTGATTGCTCAAAGCACTGTAATTTGGAAAGAATGCTCCACAAAGATGAAGCTGCCTGGGAAATTGAATATAAGGCATCTCATGTTCTTCTAAAGTGAAATTTTTGGGGGCAGAGAGGTGGCTTGTTTCTATTTGGCCATATATAGTATATGAGCTATCATTCACTGTCATACTTGTAAGCATTTCTGTACTACCCATTTATGCCAGTTCTAAAACTTAGATTTTATTTGTGTTCTATTAACTAGACAGAATGTTTGAGTAACCATGCAGTGTCTCAAATTTTTGAGGAATGAATGTTGAGATTATTTAAATAACATATATGCTATTTTTAAAATGCTGTTTGTTAAAATGTGTCATCTTTCTGAGTAATATAATTTCCATCATGTAATATCCCGACTAAATTTGGTTTCCCTCCTACCCCTCCAAAATTCTGAATAGTACTTCTGTTTTCTCTCTCCATTTAGTGTTTTTGGTATGATAGCTAGATACCAAAGCTTGTGTTATTAAAATCCAATGAATGCTAATTAATTTATTCACATTTCTTTTTTGTTTTTTCAGATGTTGATGTGGATAAACCAGATGAAAAGTCTATTATGACCTATGTCGCCCAGTTTCTGAAACATTATCCCGACATCCACAATGCAGGCACTGATGGGCAAGAGGATGATGTACGTATTTGCTTTTTCAAGTATTGCTAGTATACACAGTGACAGTGACTCAGCTTTTTGAGTATACTGTTCTCAAAAAACTGAATTTGAATGCATTTTAATATGAGAGCAACTGATTTAAAAACAGTATCACCAAATGGGGCAATGATTAGAGGAAAAGGTTTTTTTCTGGCTTGTATGTTGGATATGTTAGAGAAAGCATTGCTAATAATAAATGTTAGATATGTGATACTGATAAACTAAAATTGAGGAAAGATAGCAGTGTTAGGAACTCTATCTTAGTGATCTGAGAATTGAAGTAATTGTATTTCCATCATAGCATTTGCATATCTAGATTTTGAATCCCCTTGCTCTGGTTGATCTGATAAGATCTAATTTTGACTTGAATTTTATGATATCTGTTGACAGCAAACATATGGAAGTAAGGCACAATTTGCAAAAGTTCTAATTATTCACTGTGGTTAGATTTTTCCAGCCTTTAAATAATTTAAATAACATTAACATTTTTCATGCTGCTCAAATTACATATGTTAATTATAATAAATTTTTGAAATCAGGAAAAAAAGAAAAAGGAAAAATTTTCTATATTTCACCTTCTAGAGTGAACCTATTTTAGAAAATAAATTAATATGTTTGTGTTGATTCCCAACATTTGCATATGTATATAGCAGATACATATAATATTTTAACGAAAACAGAATCATAGTATCCATACTATTTTATTATATTATTTTCTTCTTCCAGGAACATTATAAAGAATTCTGCAGGTCATCATATATATGTACATCAATTTATTACCCAATCTTGACTGTTTTAATTTACAATTTGTGTTGTTATAAGCAATGCTTTTATGAACAATCTTGTAGTAAAACATTGTTCTAAGATTCTCTTTTATTGAGATAGAACTTTGCTCTTTTGCCCAGGCTGGAGTGCAGTAGCACAATCTTGGCTCACTGCAACCTCTGCCTCCCAGGTTCAAATACCTCTTCTGCCTTAGCCTGTCGAGTAGCTGGGATTTCAGGTGCACACCACCATGCCCAGCTAACTTCTATTTCTAGCAGAGACTGGGTTTCACATGTTGACCAGGTTGGTCTCAAACTCCTGACTTCAAGTGATCTGCCCGCCTCTGTCTTCCAGAGTGCTGGGATCATAGGTATCAGCCATCACACATGTCTAAGATTCTTCTTTAGGAGTGAAATGCCTAGGCTAAAGGGCATACAAAATTTTAATGCTTTTAAAAATGTTTTTCAGATTGCCTTGTAGAAAGTTCTTCTCATTTCACACTCCAGCTAAGATACCAGACTGCCTGTTTTCCCGTTTTTTAACAATAGATATGACCATTCTTCTAATATTTTTGAAGTAGTATTATATTCTATTTTTAATTACATAGAGAAGTAGACTCACTGCTGAATTTTAAATTAACTAGAAGGTGCTCCTCCTCTTCCTTTCTCCTTTGCTCCTGAAAAAAAAAAATTATTTTAAGGCAAAAGACATCCAGAAAATTAAGAAATGGAATTTTCAAGGTGTGTGAAAAACTATCTTTCTGTCTTCATTGTTCGGGTCTCAACTGGAGTTTTCAGAGCAGTTTGAGATGACAATGAAGAGTAATAAGAAAAACCAAAAACTGTAAAATATGCTTTCTAAATAGACTTAGAAACATATCTAAAGAAGAAAAAGGCCAAAGAGCATAACCAAAAGCGTACAAGTAGACATCACTCCAATAGTTAGAAATCAGTGACTTCATAAAAGAATAAGCAAAACGAGGCAACTGCTGTTTCCTAAGTTTCTTAGATGAAATTAATCTGGCATTTGATAGAAGTATGTTAGCTTTTTAAAAACAGTAAGTTCAGTAAACCTCTTTTGCTCTTTGCCAGGATTAGGGCACAAACATTGGTCACCAGAGTGACTTATCTATAGTTACTACTAGTAAAGTAATTGTTTCTAAAAACCACCACAAATGGCTAAAGCAAAGACTCCATGTGCAAATGCTGGCATACATTGATGCAAATATTTTGGAGTTATCTGGAGCTTACTGGATTTTGACAATATTGCTGTGTGAATAACAAAATCTATAAGAAAACACATTGGACTTACTTCATATAGCACCAAGAAAATCCATCCAAACTTCCATCTGGTTTTTATATGTGAAGTCCTTATATTACCCAGATGGATTTATATCTAATTCGGTGTTTGAGGTTTTACTGTTGTAAAGTCTCTGACATTACTCATCTCTCCAGATTAGTAAAACTTTGTGGCTGGAAGCATCTAAAAAAACAAAAGGAGATGCTTTACTTAATGCTCATGAGCAGGAGTTTAATGTGAAAATCCTTAGGGATTTTAAACACACACTCTATTGATATAAGCTTTTTAATATACTTTACTAAAAAGGCTTTCCTATTTTAAGAGGTTACTTTAATCATGTAGAAAATAAATTCTGGTCATTAAAAAAATTCCCTCTATCCCTTTCTTAAAAAGAGGATGCATATGGTTTCTTCTGGCTTATCTCAAAACTTATTTTTGATAAAAATGTATTGGAAGCTTTGCCCTTTTTTTACTGGCATTTGTAACGTAGTGCATATAGTGCATAACATCTAAAACTGCTATTTTGAATATTTTGGGTTTTTTTGTTTTTTTACGAAGTCTTGCTCTGTCACTAGCTGGAGTGCAGTGGCGCAATCTTGGCTCACTACAACCTCTGACTTCCTGGTTCAAGCAATTCTCCTGCTTCAGCCTCCCAAGTAGCTGAGATTACAGGAACGTGCCACCACGTGCAGCTAATTTTTGTATTTTTAATAGAGACAGGTTTTCACCATGTTGACCAGAATGTTCTCTATCTCCTGATCTCGTGATCCACCCACTTGGCCTCCCAAAGTGTTGGGATTACAGGTGTAAGTCACTGCACCTGACTTGTTTTGAATATTTTGAATAATTTAATTTTTCATTTTTTATGATGTAGGGCTTTTATTTGTTTAACACAGTTAATGGTCACCTAATTCTGTCTAGTGAACCTTTAATACTTTGTAAACTATTCTTATTAGTTTTGAACCATCACCTCAAAGTACTCAGTATCTGTCACTCAGCTCTTACTCTCTTAATTCATTTTTTAAAAATATTCTTGGCATGAACATATCTATCAGGCTTTCATTTTTGTGTGTATTTGATTTATAAATCCGCTTTGTGATTTTATTTTAATTAAATATTCTATGGATACCATTTTAAATGTGATTTTCTTACTGAAAATCGACATCACCGTGGATTTTTTTTTTGCTTCATCCAATAAAGCTGATAAACTTTTCCACTTCAGATATTTCTTGAATAATTAGCACTCAGCCATAAATGAATAAAATAGATCTATTGGCTTATCTCATTCACCTTCTATACTTTCCTTTATTTTTTCACCCATCCATTCTTCCATTGCAGCAAATATTCCTGACTGCCCTGTGAAACACAACACAGGCTTAATTCTTATGAGGACAAAGAAACATGTGTGCTGTGTATATTTATAGGGAAAATAATATGAGTCCATATACCTTTTCTTTAAATAGTTCACCTTCTAAAATATTTGATGCTATTTTGAGACATGTTTACAAAATATATTGCTACATATGACTATTTCAAGTTAAAATAAAAATGTCATTTTCTAGAAAACTGTGTTGTCTTACTGTAGTTGAACATTTTTGTTTTCAAAAGCTATTAAAATGTCTTAAAGTGATTATACCCTCGAAATGATTGCCTATTTCTCTAAAGGCAGATGCCTCTCCATTGATTTTCTTCTTGTTTCATGAATGATTTTTGTCCCTATTTATTTTATGTTTCTATATATTATCTTTTCATATTGTTAGGAAATACTTCCAGGTTTCCCATCTTTTGCAAATTCTATACAAAATTTTAAGGTAAGATTTAAGTAATCTTGCATTGATGACGTCTTTCAAATATCCTGCATTCTGTAACATTTTAGTCATTCAGTTGCATGTTTTTGTCTTTATGTATACATTTATTTTAATACTTTAATCACGGCATTTGCGTTTCCTTTCTAACAGAACAATAACATACATATGTGCTGTCAAATGTCAGTGATAGTCTAAGCCACTCCCATGGACTTGCCCATTAATCTTTAATTGTAAAATGGTATCTCTCAATTAAATTCTTTTTTATACTGCTTCATAACACTAATATAAAGAAGGATATATGATAACTACATTTGTTGTCTTTAAATGTGACACAGAAAATAAAAACAAAATAAAGATTTAGTTTTGTATCTTAAAATGTGAGCAGGGAATCAATGAAAAAGGTAAGTATTGGGTTAGCTTGTTGGTCTGAGTTTCCTCACTTTCTTCTGCTCAGTATTGGTTCTCATGGTTTAGTAAAGTTCATGACATTTAGGAGGTGCTCAAAAGATGTTCGCAGAAAGAATAGTTATGAATTCCTGTCCATATCTAAGTTATTTAATGCATGTCCCATATTTCAGCTTTTCCATTTTTCTTTATGTTCCATTTAGGCCTTGGGTTAAGGATCTATCAATGCAATAGACTTTATAATAACAATGAAATAGAAAAATCAGAAGTAACTAATTTCATGTCAAATACTAATTTTTTTTAAATGTCATGCCCCATAAAATATTAGTTTATGTATATGTGAACATGGTACACAAACATAAACATGACTTGTGTGTGTCTGTGTGTGTGTGTGTCTGTGTGTGTGTGTATGAGTGAATGAGAGAAAAAGAAAAAAATAAAGTGAAAAAAGAAAGTAGAGAGAATGCTGACAGTTTAGCTGCTTGGAATTTAGGTAGTTTTCTATAAGCAGCAGGTTTTCATGTTTTCTGAATATGTGTGAAAGTTATCAGTTGAAGAAAAGCCCTAGACTAATGGGCAATAATTTTGTACGTCATTTTTCTCTTAGGAGAGTGTTGAGTATGTAAATAGCTACATCCTTCTCACCTTAGTGCAATCTGCTAGGCACTTCCCAACCATTAGAAAGTTGTTTACTAAATAGACTCTAATAAAGTTACTTTAAGAACATAACCCTTTTCTCTCAGATGACTTTAGGTAACAAATAGCTCCTCTTCAGGGCAGTCACGTGCTTTTTAAATGCAGAAGTTCGTGAGCAGCCTGTCCTCAGCACAACGCAGTCCTGTGCTCACTGTTAGATGGGTCCCTTCTGGTAGTCACATTGACGTCTGGTCTCTTGGAGACAGACCAAGAACAATTTTTCCGTCTGAGCTCATAAGAATGTGTTATCAGTGCTTTGCTGGGCATGAAAATCAACAAATAATAAAACATGTACCTTAATTATATTCACCTGTTCATTCAGAAAAGGCATCCTGAGAACTGAAGCTTTGCAGTCTCGGGCTCCAGTTCCATTTCTTTCTACTTTTAACTATGTTTCTAATTTATCTCTTATTCTGTAATTATATATTGAGTGATTCTGAGTGCCAGACACTGTGTTATATGATGGAGATTAAAAAGATACATAAGGAGTTTGTACAGTTGTCCCTAGATATTCACAAGTTATAGCTTCTACGACCCCCCAAGATAGAAAATTTCATGATGCTCAGGTCCCTGATATAAAATAGCATAGTATTTGCTTATGACCTATGCATCTCCTCCCATATACTTTAATCTCTAGCTTACATATAATACCTAACACAATGTAAATTTAAATAGTTGTTACACTGTATTATATTTTGTTTGTCTTCTCTTTACTGCTGTATTGTTACTTTTATTGTTTATTTTCCAAATATTTTTAATCTGCTGTTGATTGAATCCAAGGACACAGAGATTGACTTTAAAATTGAGAAAACGAGAGACAGTTAAGGGGGACAAATACAATATAATGCATTTGGGTGAATATTAGAGCTCAGGTTGTCACAGGATCATAAAGAAGTGTTCTCAATATATGGTTCCTTAACCAGCAGCACCAGAACACCTGGGAATATAGACAAATGGATTTTTGGCTCTACTCCACATCTATTCAACCAGAAACTCTGGGTTAGGAGATAGGTGTCCTCACTCAGACTTCTGGATTAGAAAAAGCTTCCTAGAGAATATTATGCCTGAGCTGAGTTCTGAAAAAGGCATTATCCCAGGGGAAAAAGTGACAAGTGTTTAGGCAGGAGATGACTGCTTTTGCAAGACAAGAAAGTGGGAGAAGGCATGGACCATGAGAATGTGTCAGCCTCTGTACTAGACATGCTATATAGATTACCTCCAATTTTCACCAAAACCATTGAAAGGGTGTGTGATGATTCAACACACCCTTTAGTACATCTTCTAGTACAAGAGTAGAGAAATTAAGACACACACACACACACACACACACACACCCCAAGTTCGCAGAGCTAATGTATGGCAGAGCCAGAATTTGAAACCAGTTTGGCCTGCCTCCATAAATGGCTTTCTTTCCACTCTGAAACATCACCTGCCAAGAGGGACAGTCATTTTACCTGTATCACAGCACTTTCAGCAGCAAGTGAGATGCTGGAGTTGAAAGCTGTTTTGTAAATGTCGAAAAGATCATGTTCAGTAGGTTTATGAATACTTGACATTCTTATAAGACACTACATCTTGGTGAAAAGTTAGGATATTTTCACTAAATCAATGCTATTATAGAATAGCCCTTCTTATCAATTTGTGAAAATAAGTATGAAAACCCCAATTGGTGACCTGAATGCATTTATTCATCAAAGTACTTGGAAAATCTCTAATAGGTATTATGCTCCCAGGCTCTAGGAATACTGTACTGAACAAGATAAATGTGTTTTCTGTCTACCTGGAGTTTATAATATCTAATATCCGTTTAAATGTAATATAGACAGGTTACCCAATGGTATTTTGACTGTAACTCTTCAAATTCTGTCAAAATGAATCCCATCTAGAACTGTCCTCTGGCTTACCAATGGCCTTGGGTTAGGAAGCAACCTACAGGACTGTGTTTCTACTCCAGTTATTACTCTTATCATTTGTGTAATTCCCTCCTGGGCACATTTTCTTTGTTGAATTAACATTACTTAGCAAAAAAAAAAAAAAATGGAGGTGGTTAATTTCATTATTCAATAATATAACTAAGATATTTTTCTAGAGTTAACTTTTGCTTCTTACTGTCCTAAAGGGGTGGGGGTGAGGAGAAAAAGAATTTTCAGAGGCAGTTGGGACTTGCAGTTTCTTCTAGGATCAGTCAAGTATCAATTGACAATTAAATAAATGCACAGATACTAATAAAATTGTAATGTCTCCTCGTTTCCAGAGAGAAGACAGGCTAATCTTGAAGGAAATGAAGGTTTGGATAGAACAATTTGAGAGAGATTTGACAAGAGCACAGATGGTGGAGTCAAATTTACAGGATAAATATCAGGTAATGTATGAAAAAGCTTTTTGAATTTTTGAAAAGCTATTTTTGACCAAGTTTCATATGTGTCATTTGATCTCTGCTTAATGCTTCAAATTACATTCATGAGAAAAGTCTTTAAAGATATAAAATTCATTACCTTAAGTTTTCAAATAATGTAATAATTGTATTTCTATCTTACATAGATAGTCTTAAATTGCATTGTATCCACACTATATATGGAACACTGAGGTTTCATCAGTTTTCCATAACTCGGTCTTACCGATGACTCAGAAAACAAATGCGGAGTCATTGTTTTTATAGAACTCATGATCTTATAGATGTCACCTAACACAAAAATCTACCAAGAACTAAGACTTGAGTCAAATTTGAAACTTAGTATAAAATAGACTGAATTTAATAAAGGATTGCAACATGAGTATTGGAATGGGTCTCTAAAGGGATCAGTTTCTACTGCGACCTGCCTAGTCTAAAACCACTGCATTCAAGTTGAGCTCAGAGCTAATGTTTTTCCCCAGTCTCACTACAATGTCATTAATTGGACCTCTGCTTCTGATTTTCACTTCCAAGACACAAAACAAAGGTTATTCCCATTTAAAAAGTGTGATCTCAATAGCAAAGACACAGAATGGACCCAAATGCCCATCACTGTAGACTGGAGAAAAAAAAAGTGGTACATATACACCATGGAATACTATGCAGCCATAAAAAGGAATAAGATCATGCCCTCTGCAGGGACATAGATGGAACTGGAAGCCCTTATCCTCAGCAAACTAACACAGGAACAGAGAACCAAACATAAGTGGGAGCTGAATTATGAGAACACATGGACACATAAGGGAGAATAACGCACACTGGGGTCTTTAGGGGAGTAGGGGAAGGATAGCATCAGGAAGAATAGCTAATGGATGCTGGGCTTGATACCTAGGTGATGGGTTGGTCTGTGCAGCAAGCCATCATGGCACACAATTACCTATGAACAAACTCGTACATCCTCTACATGTACCGTAGAACTTAAAATAAAAGTTGAAGAAAAAAATAAAAATTAATACAAACTGATTTATTTGATTCAACATCATCATTTTTCCCTATGTAAAACATCACTCCATTATAGTGGCAAAATTAAATATAGCATATCATGAATTACATTATATAATATATTCTGCACTACATAATATTTCAGTCATTTCTGCTACAGAAAAAGATAAAATGATGTGAGAGCTTCAACATGGTAGCCAAAAGATTTATCCATAGCACTAGTGATTTTATGCAATCATATCTATAAAATATGCCCTAATTTAAATGGATGATACCATCAGTATTCTATTTGTTGAACTTAGCAAAGCAATAAATATGTGGTTAATATGCATGTACTTTTTTACATTGAAATTCAGTGTGAGCTTTTTTCCCCAAAATAAAATTTTCTGGGCTGAGATCCGTTAAAAATGATTAAGTCAGTAAATGGAGAAAAGAATTACAAGAACAGAGTGAATATACTTATTTAGTCCACTGATGAGGTTTAGGTTTGGCAACAATTATCAAAAAATAAATTCCAAGTTATAAAGCTACCTGTTATACAGATGCTATTTCATGAGGGAAATAAAGGCTTAGAAAAGCATAAAATATAAACACTCTTTTCAGGAAATATCCTTTCGGTTAGAAAATTTCAAACAAGTGCAGACAATGCCCCATAGGTAACACAGTGGGAAGATTAAATGTGATGTTAATAACTATTCATTCTATACTGTATAGAAGTTCGCAGGTTTGATTCTTTTTTTTAGGTTAATTTGAGTCTTCCTTGATCTGTTTGCTGTGTTTTTCATCATTCACAAACTAATTTCTAAAAAGATGTACATGTATTTTACACTCCCTCACCAGTTTCTCACAGAGAAGCAAGGAAAGAGTTAGGTGAAAGGAGATTCATGCCTTAGGCAGAATAAATACAGTACTTAATGATATGTCACTTATTGAAAAAGTAAGACACATTAGACCACCAGAATAATACATTAAAATCAATATTTTTATCTCATGCCAAAATTTAGTGTATTAATTGGAGATATTAGTAGTAATTTTTGTATTTTTAGTAGAGATGGGGTTTCCCCATGTTGGCCAGGGGGGTCTCCATCTCTTGACCTCGTGATTTGCCTGCCTTGGTCACCGAAAGTGCTGGGATTACAGGTGTGAGCCACTGGCCCCAGCCTATGTTTTGGTATTTTAAAAATTCCATTCAGTTAGAGAAAATGGAAGATAAACTTGTAGATAAAATTCTAATTCACTGTCTCCCCCCAGTGTTCTTCATGTGAATTTACATGTTTGTTTATAATTTTGAAATTCTTTTAGATGTGTTATCTGCTAGCTTTTGTAAGGGCCCTTCTCCTGTTCTGTAACATAATTGCACATTTTAATGATATTTTCATTTCATGTTGAGATTTGGAGTCACTTTTTAGGATGAGTTAATTTAATTCATATAAAATATAAAACTTTAAAACTATTTTAATGTCAGCATTAGGCTTATAGTTAAATCTACACAGGATAAATTGATGTCAACTGTACTGTGACATACTTAATATTTTAATACCATGAAATTAAAGCAAAGGATTATCATGTAAGCATGGTCCTTTAAAGTAAACCTCTTTATGCAGGCTTACTTAAACACAAATCTAGATAGCTTTAATTCTGCATTATTTCAATATATGCAATTTCTATTTGTAAATTGTTTGGTACTTGAAAAAAAAGCAATTATCTTGATCATTAGCGAAGATTTATACTCCTATTTACTATGATTTTCTGAAAAACATATACTGGTATAAAAATTACTTTACTAGAAATGAGAAATCCTAGCTTTAGTCCTACCTCTACTACTTGTCCTTGATAAGTCATTTCTGGGGTTCAGAATAATAATGCATGTCTATGTTGTAGGGTGGTGGAGAGAACCAAAGAGGATAATGGCAGAAAGCACTTAGCACAGGGTCTCTAACTATGTCACGGATGATGAATGACAGCCGCTGTTAGTATAATGACTACCATTATTATTATCAACAACATATATTGAGTGTTATCCAAATAGAAAAGATTGTTATTTAGGAAATGTGCTTTCTTTTGCTTTTGCTTTTTTTGACTAGTTGCCATACTATTACTGTTTTTCCTCTTTTAGTCATTTAAGCACTTCAGAGTTCAATATGAAATGAAAAGGAAACAGATTGAACATTTAATACAGCCATTACATAGAGACGGAAAATTGTCACTTGACCAAGCATTGGTAAAACAATCTTGGGATAGAGTGTCCTCCAGGGTAAGTTCCCACAATTAATTGTATTAGGGCTTAATAAATTTAGTAAAGAATATTTTTCATCATCTATTTCTACACAGTGATATGACAGCTGGTTCTACTGCCTCTGTCTTAGGTTAGAAAGACTTAACTGTGAGAGAATCTTTGCCTCCTTGTCTAGTTTTCCTGTAAGTTAGTGGAAGTGTTTGGTTTAACAGCTATTTTCTTGCCTTGCCTCCCCTGTTAGTGATATCAGCCATTGACTAGATGATAGATTAAAATCTTGAGACCATCTGGATCACTTCACACTTCGTACAACTTTCTTCTGGATTGTTTAGAAGAGGTGACTCTTGTCTTGTAGCCAATTCTCCAGAATGGAGCCACAACAACTTCTTGTATTCCCAAACCGTGTTTCATCAACATTTAATGATCTTCCTTTATTGACATGCAGTTTTATATTCTTTAATTCAAGCATCTCTTTTTATCTGATTGTTCATGAATCTGAAGAAAAACTGCTTAGTATCTTTCATATTCATATTCTTCATGCCTAAAGATCAAGATTTCAAACACCTGGAACTTCTATTACTAATAAGAATATTTGTCTTGAACTTACCATATGTCTTTGATTTTTATTTTATTTTGCTTTTGAGATAGTGTCTTGCTCTGTCACCCAGGCTAAAGTACAGCGGCACAATCACAGCTCACTGCAGCTTCAACCTCCTGGGCTCAAGCAATCCTCCTACCTCAGCCTCCCAAGTACCGGGGACCACAGGCATGCACCACCATGCTTGGCTAATTTTCTTCTTCTTTTTTTTTTTTTTTTTTTTTTTTTTGTAGATATGAGATCTCACTGTATTGCCCAGGCTGGTCTTAAACTCCTGGGCTCAAGCATCTCACCCATCTTGGCTTCCAAAATTTCTGGGATTACAGGAGTGAGCCACTGCACCCAGCCTAATTTTTTTGGATAATCTCATTTTTTTTTCTAGTGACTCCATTAAAGAATAGGCTAGTTCCTAAGCACCTCAACTCATCCCACCTGGTATTCCAGTAAGCTAGGAAATGTGTCTGAGGATTGGGTAAAATGGAACAGATGAAGAGAAGGGTAGACAATCATAGAATTATAGAAAGAATCCTTTAAACTCATCTTTGTCCAGAGCTGCTTAGATAACCCTAATTTTTCTGGACTTGTTCTGATCATGTGGGAGGTTTTAATGGGATTCTCGTTCCGACGACCGAAATACACATCTGCCAGGTATCTAACTAGCATCCTCCACGCGTGTTAGCAAACCTGATCCTTCCCCTTCAGCTAAAGCCACACTGAAAATTAGTGCTGCTTTATGCTGTCCCTCTAAGAGGAAAATTGCTTACACTTCTAATAATATTCTTCTATATTTAAGATGTATTTTGAGTTTCCTCAAAATTTGCCTGTAATTATAATTTTCCTCCCCATCCCTAAAGTATCAAACTCAGAACACAGACATTTGCTTATTTGATATTTGTTAACTTAGCCTGAAATCATTAACTTGAAGCTTTATGTATGTTTACTATTCTTTCGGGGTAATTTTATAAATTATCATCTGTATTAAAGATATTTTATTTTTCTGCTTTTTAAATTTTAGCTCTGTGATTGGCATATACAGCTTGATAAATCTCTTCCGGCACCTCTGGGCACCATAGGTGCCTGGCTATACAGAGCAGAGGTGGCCCTGAGAGAGGAAATAACCATTCAGCAGGTCCACGAGGAAACAGCAAACACAATACAACGGAAACTTGAGCAACATAAGGTAAAAATCCTGGTTGGAAAACTTTGCAGCATAACAGCCCCAGCGTGGTCTTCAGAGGTAGCCTAATTACAACCTGCCCCGGTGGGGAACCCCCCAAATATTCATTCTACATGATCAAGAGTTGTCACATCTTCTTAGAATTCTCTAATTTGAATATTTCTTTCTTACACTGGTTAATGACGACCCCAGTAGGTTGATTTCCTGAGATATTTCCCATAACTGTGTGGTATTTTTTTCCATCTGCAGCTATCTTTGTTATTCCTGTTGTTATATTTTATTTTTCAAAAGATAAGCCCATAGGGTATGCATTTACATAATAATGTGGCTGGCCATTGGCTCCAGATCTCATTTCTGCCTCTATTCTTAAAGGAAGGCAGGAAAAGGTTCTGATGTCCTGCTGGGTGCAGGTAGAAGGAATGGAGGCTGTAGGAAGTGGTGAGGTTAGGTTTTGATGGTCTCTTAGTCATTTGGGACTTTTTGTTTTGTTTTATCAACTTTTATTTTAAGTTCCAGAGTACCTGTGCAGGATGTGCAATTTGGGACGTTTTAAACTTAATATATGGTCCGTTGTATATGGTATAACTTCCAATATGCTTCCTCTTTGTGTTTTGTGATAGTACAGGCCTAACTAAAAATGCTATTTTTTGTTAATATCACATTAACGCAATCTTGCATTTTCTGCAAGTCAGTTTGTATACTTCATTTGCTGTAGTATGGTGGGGTATTACTGCATATGTGAAAAACAGATTTCTACTTCTGACTACACATGGGCAATGTATAGCTCACATATATTTTCTGCCAAATTATTGACCTTTAAAAAAATTACCCCATATTTAATAGACTTCCATATTCTAGACAAGATCATAAAGTAAATTTATGACAGATTTTCTTTTATGCCTCTCTGGGGCTTTACTTTTGGAGCTAGAGATACAGAGACGCAGAGATATGATGTCATTACCGATCTTGGCCATTTCAACTCAACAGACTCAACCTCAGACAAACTCATCAAACTAGATGGCCACAGCAAGGTTTGATGGTCTACAGAGGCCGTCACTCAGGCTCCTGCCTCCATTTCCTCTTGGCTTTTTTCGATACTCAATGCCTTCAGACACTTTTCAAGGTGCTGATTATCTCTTAGCTCCTCTCCTCCTCCAGCCACCAACACAGACAAACACACACACTGAACTCCCTGTCATCTGGCTTCTCAGATGTAAGCTTGACTTTGGGGTCTTCTCCATCTGTGCAGATACTCACATATAAAAGCTGGGCCTGCTTGTTTGTGACTTAGTGCCCTAAAGTGGGGGCAGCTATGCCATAAGGGACCCAGAGTTCAGGCCTCATACAAGATCAAGTCATAAGAATTTTTCTGGAATTGAATTGGGTCAAGGTTTCTCAAAAGCATAAAAACAACTGGGCCATGTCAAATCTGAGACCACCCCAGTATATTAAAAACAGGGGGCTGGACGTGGTGATTCGTGCCTGTAATCCCAGCACTTTGGGAGGCCACGGCAGGCGAATCACGAGGTAGGAGTTTGAGACCAGCCTGGCCAACATGGTGAAACCCCATCTCTACTAAACATACAAAAAATTAGCTGGGCGTGGTGGTGGGCACCTGTAATCTCAGCTACTTGGGAGGCTGAGAGGAGAATCACTTGAACCTGGGAGGTGGAGGTTGCAGTGAGCCAAGATCGCACCACTGCACTCCAGCCTGGGCGGCAATGAGAGACTCTGTCTCAAAAAAAAGAGAAAAGAAAACATAGGGGAAATTTGTGAAAACAGCATTACACAAACAATAACATCTTCAGCAAATTAGCAATTAAGCATAAACAACATACAATAATTTTTTTCGTTTAAAACATAATTTAAACTGTTTTATTTTTTACCATAACCAGCTTTTACTTATTTATTTTTTAATTTTAGATTCAGGGGGCACATGTGCATGTTGGTTACATGAGTATATTACATAATGGTGGGGATTAGGATTCTAGTGTACCTGTTACCCACATATAAAACTATTTTAATTGATGTACATATTTGATACATAAGAAGCCACTTTGGAATTTTAAATAAAATGTAGAATGTATATCAATTGTGAGTTAAATGTGTTAATTCAGCAGATAGGCATGGTAGCAAATATCCCGACTACATGCAGGTTTTCATCTCCAGGGTGACAGGTGAGGGGCACAGACAAGGTCCAGGCGTTTGTGGTGCCTCCAGTCTAGAGGTCTGAGAAACATCTACACAATTGTTCTTTATATAATACCCTTAACTTTGACTTAAACGTCCCACCAGAGAGAAAATGTCTGACAATGCAACGGCTGTTTACTAGCTAATTACAAGACTTTGTAGAGATATTAATTCAAGGCACACTATAGGCAGTAACATCTCCTACAAGGGAGTGGGTTCTAAGTTGGTCAATGCACATGCTGTCTGTATATTTCAATGATTATATGATTTCAGGCCCTTCATGAGCCCTTCCAGCTCCCTTGAGAGACAGAGAGAGACACAGACCCTGTGCCAAGCCCCCAGGATACAGCTAGAACAATCTCTCTGCCAAAGTCATGGTGAACAAGGCATAAAAACTAGGAATGAAATGGATCAGGGAGAGATAGAGGGGCAGGAGTTGGAGAAAGTGATTATCTGAGGCAAACAAACGAACAAAAACCCAGAAAGGAACAGACTAAAGAGAAAAACAAGGAATATAATAAAGAGATAAAGGTTAAAAAGCAGAGGTAGGTAGGGGCTCAGACCAGGTTCACATGAATATCAGAATTATCTTTTTATTGAGGAAAAACTTTTACTATGCCTGGGCATGGGTACTTAAAGTAGCTCATAAAACAAATTGTCAATTTTAAGATCAATTCTCATGCATTGAAAATATATATATTAGAAGCCTATAAGCTAAGCCTTAGGGTGAAAAATTTGAATTATTCTTATTCTTAATGAAACGGAGGCCCAGTCTGTCACTCTCAGGCTGGAATGTAATGGCATGATCTCAGCTCACTGCAACCTCTGCTTCCCAGGCTCAAGTGATTCTCCTGCTTTAGCGTCCTATGTAGCTGGGATTACAGGTATCTTCCACCACGCCTAGCTAATTTTTGTGTTTTTAGTAGAGACAGGGTTTCACCATGTTGGCCAGGCTAGCCTCAAACTCCTGACCTTAAGTGATCTGCCCTCCTCGGCCACCCAAAGTTCTGGGATTAGAGGCTCAGTGAGCCACCACACCTGGGTAAGTTTGACTTATTAAAACAACTAAAAATTGTAAGTTTCCTCAATGGCACCGACTCAGTCCCCCAATTTGATATAATACCTCTATGCTGGTTATTGGGCTCACTTGGAGATGCAATAAATTAGGAAAATCACAATTTAGGACTCATAAATATATATATGAACATAATATATACATGAACATATATATGAACATATTTGTTCTGCAAAACAAAGTGTACCTGTATTATCTTTTCTATTTCCCAGTTACCCTAATGTTCAGTTACCTAGAAAAAAAAAATGACAATAACCACAGTTAACTATTATGGAGGACTTAACCAGGCTTCAGCCCTAAGTATTTGATTTTTACCAAACACTTAATATGACAAATGTGAGACAGGTACTATTATCCTCTTTTGCTGATGAGGTAACTGTAGGTAGAGAGAGGTTAAGTGACTTTCCCAAGTTCACATAGCTGATGATCCCAGTTGTCTTCAACACTAAGCTTAAAATGTGACTACAAAGCTATTGCATATTTTACTTGTAGGGTGATTATACTGACTAATTTATTGTTCTTAGTATTGCTTTGGCAAAGTAAGGCTTTCAGTCATAAAGAATCATGAAAGTAGCCATCAGACTCTGCCACCTTCTACTCATCCTTAGCAGTTATCAACCCTGCCTGGATCACTTTCCCTTCTTTCTTGAAGATTTTATTTCCTGGAGGACAAAGCATGACATAATTCTCAGTAACTTCAGGAACCTATAGATGATCCTCCCAATATCCTGACCTCTCAGGTTCTTGACCTCCTCTTCCCCCAGGATCCTGTCCTACACTCAACCCTAGCCACTCACACCACAGGCATAGCCTAAAATGCTCATCATCAGTAAATGTGACCCCTCCACAAGCTCTTTGTCAAGTACCTTCCTCTCCAGTCAGACAAGTCTTCATCTCCTCTGTGCCCTATAATCTGTTATCCTACCATCTTTTCCCTGCATCCTATTCTCTTTACCACTTCCCTTTGTGCTCTGCTCAAATGCAGTGTAAAAACCCCACTTGTCTACATCCTTGCTTGCCTTGTGAACATTTCACTTCATCTTACCGTCCTGGTGAAAACGCAATGCTGCTGAAAGCCAGGTCTTGCCTAGTTCATGCCCACACACATGTAGCTGACTGTGACTGGAGGAAAAACACACCCCCAGGTGCGATGACTAACCCAAGTGGGCCCTTCACGGTGCCTGGCAATCAGAAGGCATTTCCCGACTCCATTCCTTCCTCATTTCTGGGACAACTATTTCATATCTTTTCTCTTCAAAACTTCCACACCTCCTCCCCATCCTCACTCTTAGCTGATGACATTACTTCCTTTTTCTTTGAGAAAATAGAAGCAATCAGAAAAGAATTTCCACAAGCTCCCACGGCCACATCAACCCACCTACTTGCATCTGTGCCCGAAAACGCTCTCTTCACTTCTGTTACTATGGGTGAGCCATCTGTGCTCTGAGCCGAGGCCAACATCTCCATGTGTACATTGGATCCCACCCTCTCTGCAAAAGGTAATTCCTGTCCCTCCTCCCTTCTACATTATTTTCTCTTTCCTTCTCTGTTGGAGTCTTCTCACCCACATACAAATATGCTGCTATTAACTCATGTTAAAAAGTTTTTTTCTTAGCCCCATTTCCCATCCCAGCTACTGTCCAATTTTCCTCCTTCCTTTTAAAGCAAAGCTGTTTGAGAGAATTGGCTATGTTCTTTCTTCTTTCAAAATTCTTTTATTCTTTCTAAAACCCATTCC